GTGTGAGAATGTTGCTTATTTCTTTATTTTTTATGGTCATTACCATTACTTGCGTGGCTTGCAGCACTTGGGCCTTTCCTTTATCTTCCCGGTGCCCCCTTAATGAAGCTGCCTTTCCATTTCCATTTCCACTTCCCCTTCCTATGTGTGGATCTTCGAATAGGTACTATGTATATATCATATAGTACTCCTCAACAAACTCCAAAAGGTCTCCGGACTCTGTGACAAATGGCGTTTTGCCGCACAAATTGATAAGTACCGTTTTGGGGAAGTGAGGTTCGAGTGCATGTCGACGCCTCGACATTTCTGATTGAGATTGTCACTGCGATTGCCAGTCATTGTTGGTTGTTGAATGTTGCCAGTTTACCAGTTTGCCGGCTAACTGTTGCAGCCAAGTTAGCGACAGTTGCCGTTGGCAGTGGCGCGTGGGGAGTGAACAGCAGTCACAAATGAGGCACATTTCCAACTAAATGCAGCTACCAAAAACAGGTGCGTAGCCCAAGGGGGAGACTTGATGGCCCCATTTAATGGAAAACCTTATCACCGCACGAGACAATTATGTGCTCAAAAAGGTCATCACGTAAAGTAATGAACACGAAAAGTGTTGACTTGCTTATTATCTAGATCGTATTTCCAAAATTTCGTGGTAAATGGTGCGAGCTTTCTTGTGAACTCTCATATATCTACACTATTTGTGCTTTAGAGACTTTTAAACTATCATAAAATAACTCATTTTAAATATCAAATTAAGTTAATCTTGTTAGAAAAGTCACTAGATGGGAATAGGATAAATAATTTAAGATAAAATTGTCATAACAAACCCCAAATCTAAGACTATAATTAAAAGTAATCAACAAACTTATAAATGAATTAAAGATTATATAGTATATACTTCACTATACTCAGGAAATATATTTATAATGGATTTATAGGTGTAGAATCATCAACATCACAAAGTTAATAATAATAATAATAAGGTACCTTAAGAAAATGTGCCCATATATGATCCTTAATCTTTCTACATTATGACTTATGATACTAAAAGTTGCTGCATTACCGGTAACTACACAAAGAGTAACTTTATGAAAGACCTTCGTATCAAGCTTTATGTTATTTGAAAACCTTCATAAATAAATATTTATATTTTAAATAAAATATTTCCTGGTTACAAAATATTACCAAATCCCCTTAAAATTATGCTCCGTTGACAGTAATAACTTCCCCCCATTCTCTAGGCCCCTGGTAATATTGCATTTAATGTTCATATGTATTGTGTGTAAATTCCATTTGCTGCAATTGTTGCAATGACACAGGCATTTTGTCGTCTGACAATTTGTATTTCAGTTTTTCATTAATTTTTTTTCTGCTGGAAGTACGAAATATCCGGCAAAGCCGCCTGCTGAGTTTCGCTGAATAGAGTTGTGCAAAGTACTCGCATTGTTTTGATTTCGGTGGATCGGTGGATCTTTTTGGGGTCTGATTTTTGCATTCATATTCATGGAACAAACCACACATAAAGTTGGCGTGCGAAAAACTCACCAACATGCGGAATTTAGCCGCTTTTTATGCAGTTGTGTGTGGGATTTTTAAATTTGGGAAAGTGTATTTTTTGTGTTTTATTGTTTGGACATAGTGTAAGACTTAATTGCTTTTTGCTTTGGAAACCGAGTCGAGTTGACTTCGCTTGAACTTTTGGTTTGTAACAGAAATTAAGCTACTACAAAATTAATTTTTTAAACACGTTTCTGTGTATAATTAATTTGATACCTGGTTTATTAATAATTTGATACGAGTTTTTAATTATTATTACATTTTCGTATGATAAAATCAATTTGTTTATCAGCATTTAAATTTATTTACGAAATTAAGTTAATGAATAGTAGTATATATAGATTTTCGCTTGAAATACAGCTTAAATTCATAGTTAAACTCAGATAACTCTTTATAAATCTGCATTATTTTATCAAGTCTAGAAAGACTTCGAATAAATCTAAATAAAAAAACAAAGGAAAACTTTAAGACGGATTTTTTAAAACAATTTGTATCGATATTTTTGTATGGCTATTCAGCAAATTAATGTTTAAAATCTCATATCTAAGCCAAAACAACATTAATTTGAATTTGGAAAGCTTTCCTGTGTAAGATTTTATTAGGCTAATAAATCTGCATACTTTATTTGACATTTTAAAATATTACAAAATTTTTAGGCAATTTTAACGATGTAACCCCTTATAAAATTTTGAAAAAATTTAATTTTTGACCAGACATGGCTAGATCGACTCGGCTGTTGATGCTGATCAAGAATATACATATATGGTTTATATGGTCGAAAATGACTCCTTCATTACGTTTCAAGCTTCTGACTGAAATTATATTCTTCAAAAAGGTATAAAAACAGACAATTTTTTTTAAATACAATTTTCTTGGACATCATATTTAAGCAAAAATTGCATTAATTTTAATTCGGAAAACTTCTCTGTGCTATGCATTATTGCACTAACAAATCTGCATACTGCGTTTGTTAATGCTAATGTCAGTTTTTGACTAAAATTAAAGCAAAAGGTATAAAAACGGACAATTTTTTCCGAAAATAATAGTTTAAAAAACTCATAACTAAGCCAAAAAATTATTAATTTTAATTCGGAAAGCTGTTCTATGCTAGTTTTTAGTAGATTAACAAAGCTGCGTACTCAGTTTTCAAATTTATTCATATAAGTTCAATTCTTTGTCAAATTTTGTCAATTTTAATGATGTAACCCCTTATCAAATTTTCAATTTTCGAAAAAATTTATTTTTGACCAGACATGGCTAGATCGACTGGGCTGTTGATGCTGATCAAGAATATATATGATTTATAGGGTCGGAAATGAATCATTCACAGAGTTACAAGCTTCTGACTATAACTATAATAATATAATTATTATAATAACAAAAAATGCATTTAGGCCACAATTGGTAATATAAATTCGATTTAAGCCATCCGAAATTATTCACAGCACTCGGAAAACAAATAAAATTAAAGATCTCCAGTGATCTTTACCCCCCAAAAAGGCAATCAAAACCGTCTCAGCAGGAAATTTAATTATAATTAAAATGAAAAAGTGCTGAGAACCTTCACAGATACCGACAGAGGCAGAGAGAAATTCAGCTAACTGTGAAAATAGAAGGGAACCCCGTGGAAACAATAAAAGATACAACATATATTTTGTTGTACTTTCATCGCCGCTCCAGATGAGCTAAAAATTATTCACGCTCCGCATTCTTCACAGTCCATTTCGTGCGATTCGCGATCATAATCAGAGTTCGCAGATTCAAATACTACTCAGTATATTCAAATCGAGACTGTGCCAGTTCCCGGGGGGCAATTACTTACTCTTGCTTTCTTGGCCATCTGAACTTGGCGAATTGGGTTTTCGGCAATGAGGAAAGTCTGTTCCGTGAGATGTTTCGGGTCTGTCGTAATGGTTCCACTAACCGAAATATCGTTATAATTGCAGACATTAGGCCCAGATCCATTAGCCATTAACCTTTGGTATTTTGGTTTCGGTTTCGGTTACAACCGTGAATAATCGAATGCGCTAACAACAATCCGACTATTTGGCTTCTCTCTCCTTTTGTTGTCTGCTTTTAATACGTTTTTCAACAGTTTGTTTAAATTATGCCGTAAAATTTTTGTTGAACATTGTGCGCATGTGTAAGCGCCATCCCCTGCATCCCGTCCCATCGCTGTTTTCCCCCTTTTTCGCCCATTTTGGGTGACTGCAACACGCAACGCGCAACAGTTGACTTTCACCAGCTGAGAGGCACTTGGATTTATGCCCAGCATTCATGTCGTGCAGGTTGGAGTCGCCACCTGTCCCGTCGCATCTCGTTTCGTGTCTCCAATCCTTTCCTCTCCTCTCTCACCTGAATAACCATCCCCCATCTCTCACCTGTGCTATCTTAATTGCTCATTGACAACTGCCGGCTGGAGGAGCTCCGTTTCATACCTTGGCTCGGCCCTAATCAATGGCATTTCGCTTTCATTGCGACCGCGTTAATTGAAGCTCGCTAAATAATTGCAAAACTCACCCCTATAAATGGTCTACACTCGGCAAAATTTAAAGGAAATATATTTAAAAGAATTTTGTTAAGAAAAATTAAAAAAATGTAGAACAAGTTGTAAGGAAGTTCTATAAAGAAATGTTTCCCTTTGAAATACAATTTATCTGTTTCCACAGATTGATAACAACTCAAAGTTAAAGTTAAGATATCAAAAGTGAATATTAAGGTCAATATTACAGTCATTTATGCCAAAATGTACTTAAAATCAATAACCAACTTGGTTTTTCTGTATTCCATATATGATCTCTTAAATAATGTAATATTTTAACGAGAAGAATTCATTTTTAAACAAGAACTTAAGAGCAACACAAAGTTCGGAATACACAAGAAGCTAGGTAAAAATATATTATATATTAGAAAGGAGTGTAAGGATTTTTCTTCTAAAACTATTCCTGTTAAGTGAAATATTCCTTGAATAATTCGCCTAAAATTTTGCCAAGTGTAATGGGGTCGCACTCTGCCTAGTTTAGTCTACAAAACTCTCCACGACACTCAGCTGTTTGGTGGTCTGCGCATGTCCCGATTGTGTCATTGTGTCATTCTCGGCAAGGCAACAACATGGAGCACTAGCTATTGCTGCGGCGACCCAAGAAATTCGATTTGTCAGAAGATTGGATGATGTCGGAGGCGAGTTCCGTCAGCAAATCCCCGCCCAGCGGAGTGCGAAGGGTGCGAACGGATCTAAAGACCTCGGAGAATCGATTCCTGGGAGCTGGCTTTGGTGGACACCAGCGGACCAGCTCACCGATGACCATCAAGCAGCGGCATCTTCACTACTACCTGGCCAGCAGTGCTCCGCAGGCCAGGGAAACATATCACAGGCACTACCTAAGCTTAAGGATCTTATTTATTTATATAATTAACTAATTCAAGTAATCTTTTGTAACCCTTTTCAGCGCCCAACTGCCCGCCCGTGCCACCAGATTGCTGAACCGGTCACGTCTCCAGGACCAACAGCTCACCGGCAACGATTCGGACAACAGTTTGAGATCCACACACAGCGGCGGGGCTTCGGCATCCGCTGCTGTCCGCAAGAGGAGCACGGCCAACTCACGAGCCTCCACTGCCTCGTCCACGGCCAGTCTGCCCCGGCAGCGTCACCTGCAACAGCAGCACCTGGGACAGTCGGGAGCCGGCGGAGGAGGAGCAGGCGGTTCAGGTTCGGGAGCTTCCAGCCAAAGGTGCAGTGGCGAGCTGCATAGCTCGTCGGACGACCTGATGTTGTATGACAAGTCCTTCCGCAATGCCATGCTCCAGGATGTGCTGCAGTTCAAGAAGCAGTTGCTGCGATTGCGTCGCATACTCCAGGAGGTGAGTTTAGTCATTAAAAATAAGAGATTACTTTTAGTTACGATTATTTGTTTTCATAGTGTAATTATTATTTAGTATTTTCATTATTTTTACCTCTCAAAATGCACTTTTCTTTGCTTGCATTTCCATGGCACACCCATCTTACACACACTCTCTTCACCACCTGCACAACTCTTAGGAGCCAGATTTTGATTTGAAACGGGTACGTCGCCTTTGGTTTTTTTCATTTATTTTCACCTGCCCAAAGGCATCATTGTTTTTTTGTGCCACTTTGATGGATGGAAAGTAACCCATGGACTTTTACTATATTTTCTTCTTAGACGGAAACGCTCAATCCTTTCGAGAACGACAACGTTCAGCTGTTCGCCGCCTGCGGTTTGGATAGCAAGCAGTTGAATGACATCGATCTGGCCAGCCTGACCTCGTCCACGACGGAGGATCCGCTCCAGGAGCTAACGGATCTACGTAGACAGGTGGTTTACCTTCAGGTATTTGCACGTTTTTTGCATTTCGTTTGCTCGTTAAGCCGGGATTAATTGGGTCACAAATCGATCTAATCGATATATTCAAAGCAGGACAAGATTTTCTTATTGCATTTTAATTCTCGCTGTTGTTCCTTAATTGTTTGTTATTTATGGATTCTATAAACATGTCCATTTAGCATGACAAATACCCAATCGAGGCGAATACTATATTCTATATCTATGCTTATTGTAAAATTCTACCAATGGAAACAACAACATGTACACTGTTTATACATATAATCAGTCTTAATTTTGTTTTAAAGTGTTGATTTTGCACTTTTCTACACAAATCCAAACTCTCTACACTATATATAGCCCAAAAAAACAAATATATATAACTGTTGCTTTGATTTTGAGCCAAAATTAAGTACATATAAAAATCAGACTTAATCAAAGCATGACTGTTTATAAATATGCAAAACTAAGCCAAGATAGCCTAGCCTAGATACTCGTTAACTGTATAGATACATAGATACATACATAGAGATATGATTTTCACACTCTCTGGCTTAGATTTAACCACTAGAGTGACCTTTCATGCCTCGCTCCACAAGAGTGAACTGACATTTACTGATCTCTGCTCTCCAATCCCAATCCCCAATCCCGCTACTCCTCCGACAGGGTCAAGTGGACGATCGTGATCGCACCATCCGCCTGCAGCGCGATCTCATCGAGCAATTGGAGGCGGAGAAGCGGCAAAAGGCGCTGGCCAATGGCACCGCCAGCGAGCCACCCGGCAAGGAGCTCATCAGCATGGCCACCCAGACGGAGCGGGTAAGTGCCAACTGCATATACATACATATATCCCACCGATCCAATCCCGATAATTCCCCGTTAATGATATGTGTTTGCACAACATTGACTAACCGAAAAGAAAAGAAAAACAAAAGCTATCGACTATTTCAATTCCGATTTCGATTCCACTTTCACAGACACGACCACTTGCCATTGGTGCGGAGGGTTTGTCCAGGTAGGCAGACTTTCATGTTGTTTCTATTTCGATTTCGATTTCGGCCATCTACCTCATATACGGTTTAATGCATTATTTTTTGTGATTTTTTGTTTTATTCACTGCATTTTGTTGCTTTGGTTTTGAATTTGTGTAATAATACTTGTAATTTTTGGGGGCTTTTCATCAACCGCAGTTGTGCGGCCGCAAACTAACAAAACTAATACAAAACGATGCCGCCGCCTGTTGCTGCTAGTTTATGCTTGTTACACAGAGAAAAAGTATGTTATATGGGTTATTCATTTGTTTGAAACTAAGCTGTGAAATTGGGGAGTTTTAACAAATATTCTAAGTATACAAATTGGGGGGATTTAAAAAGGAACTCGGCTTTAATTGGAAGCTTTAGAATGGAGCCTCATAAAAGTCGCATATGAAAATTAGCCATAATACCTTTTAAACATGGTTCATAACAATAATGTTGTATTAATTCAATCTTCATAATAAATTAAACTCAAAACTCGCTATCATTTTTTATCAACTCATTTAATTAGTTATTTATTAAAGCTCTATTGTTTCAATTTAATGTAAACCAGCTAAAGTGGATAGTATATTAAAGCTCTCTGTGGCATAGATATACATAGAATAATTTACATTCTGCTTTAAGGATAATTCAAGGTCATAGTTATTTATTTATTCATACTAGTTTATTCTATAATACTATGCTATACCAATAATTTGGCTTATCAACCTTAAATTATTTATGAAATACAAGAAAACTTAAATTATATCAAAAGAAAATGTCTGATTATGATAATAACAATTAAAAGGACCAGTTATAATTAATATTTCAATGATAGAAAATTAGATACATTAAATTTATTTCTGATTTATAAAATAAAACCTCCTCGATATATAATTATATACAACTAATCAATTTTTTAATAAAAATGCACTGAATTTTGACTAAAAGAATTTAAGAAATAGGGAAGTATAACGTATATTTAATATTAACAGTTTTTCTAAAAATATAAACCCATAGGAAACCCCAATTTCTCTTGGTGTAATCTCTGTTGCAAGTGACTGTTGCCTGCCAGCGGCTGCTGATATTTGCCGCTGGAATCGGTTTCAGCTGGCTTCACGCTCCGCTGGCATGCAAATCAGTTGGCCACTTTTTGCCGGCTCTTGACGCTAATGGCGGCCAATTGCAATTGGAGCAGTCTAATTAGGGCCGATTCTGCAGTAGCTGCAGAGTTGGGAGCTGCTAGCTGTTAGCTGAAATCTGCAGCCAATCTTGCAGCAACAGGAGGCGGAAACCAACCGAACCAACTAACAATAGATACTTGTTTCCCCGATCTTTCTCCCTTGATTAACCCATCTGGATTTCTCTCTTTTCCCACACACACACACACACTCTCTGCCATAATGCTTCCATGGAAAATATACACACTCTGCTTTCTTATCCTTAACCACATCTCTCTGGCATATTTAGACTACAATTTGGGGAGCAACAGGTACTATTTTGTGATTTCATCCTAGCCATCATTGTGCTCTGTGCCATCAATCTTATATGTATACTACACCTAAGCTATAACTGTATGGATAACTGCAACTCGTGCACCTGAGAAACTAACTAATCAAGTTCCACTAAAGCATTTACTAACTATTTGTATAACCCAGACCCAAATTGAAACCAACCAAAGCTTTAATATCCATAAGATAACCATAACTCTAACTATGTTTTAAGTACGTTATTAATTTGTCACTGAAAATTTAACACTGTTTGTGAAACGTTTTAATTGCATGCGGCAATTAAATAGAGTCCCAAGGTAACGCAAACTAAAAACTAACCCAGAAAATGGCAAGAAGATGGGATTGGGGGTCGAATGCAGTACATAACCCCGATGATTCAGTTGAGTTTATGAATCATAAGACATTTTTTTCTTTACTTAGGGTTCTCAACTTCATAAAGAATAATCAAAATTTATATTAAAGCTAACGCTCCTATAACTAAGTTAAGATGCAAGTATTAAAGGCATTAATAAAATATTATTTCCTGTTCTTTTTTTAATAAGAAATATAAATTTTATAATAAGAAACTTTTACTAAACAAACTTTAATTAAACAAAGCTTATATCAACTTTAAATCCAAGACAACTGCGACTATTTTCCCATCTTCTCTGCCTTATGTAGATATTTTAAATGGCATGTGGGGAAGGCTAATGGTTTTCATAAAATAAAATTAAACGCAAATTCTTTGTCAAAACCCCACTAACTCCAATTTCTCTGTTCGCAGAAGTAAGCCCGAATATACCAGTTATACCACGCACTTTCCGACGCTCCACTTGCACGACTCCACGCTGGCAGCCACCACCATAATCCGGCACCACCAGAGCAACCAGAGCAGTAGCAGTAGCCACCAGGGGGAGCGGGAACGCGACAAGTCCCAATCCAATTGCCCAGCCCTAAGCCAGACCCGCCGGCATACCATAATCTCCACCACGCTGACCAACTACAACCAGCAGCTGGCGGCAGCATCTTTCCCAGACACGCCACCCAGGCGCTCCTCCATTGGCTGGGAGGCCACTACGACCACGAACACACCGTCAACGTCCTACAAGCCTGTGAGGATAACGCTGATTGGGGATCCGTTGCCGCTAAAGCATAATATTAAGTCCTCCACCGGATCGCTCTCCTCGCTGTCCTGCTCCTCCACATCATCGCTGTCGCCGCAGGCCCAGAACGGGGTCAAGATGAGGTACCCAAATGGGTGCCAGAGCAAGCCAAGTGCGCATTATCAGCCGTTGTACAACAGCAACAAGATGACAAGCCCAACCGTAACTATAGTCTGATTTGGATATATACCAGTCTCTCCTCCAGTTTTTAAACATCATCCAAGCAAGCAAGTCTTCTTCTGGGAAAGCTCTGAACAACAACAAACAAAAACAAGAATCCATATAATTAATTGTGAAATAGACCTAGTACAAGTTCTTAACTAGCCTAAGCTAAAAACGGAAGTATATTTGCATCTTAGCCGAGAGCTCTTAGTAAAATATTTGCATGTAAGAATTGTACTTAAAATATATCTCCATAAATTTATATCCGTATTGCTTCAATATACATCTAAACTACAATTAGCTCTTCTTTTGGCCAAGTTTGTTGGCCTCCCATAATATTTTGCTAGCCAGATATATAATATCGCCCATCTGAGCCTCCAACTTAATGGAAAACCAAGCACAAATCTTATAAATGTGCGATTAGTGGAATATTAAATATATAATATATGCGTATGTGTAATCTTAAATAGAATTAATCGACTTAATCTTTTGATTGTTAAATTGTTTCACCTAAGTTTTAGTCTAAGTTTAGAGAGTTTTTCCTTGTTTAATTTTCCTGTAATTTGTACTATATATATGAGCTATGATGTATTTCTAAACCAATAGCAGCGAAGAGGAAACAATAATGAACGCAAGATATTTTATATTTTTTTTCTCCAAGAGCACAATAATCGTCAAGTAATTAACCGATATTATATAACTTATACTGTATGTAAACCACTATTAAAGAGTTATAGAAAGTACCTATCGATAGAGAAAGATAAACAAGAGGCTGTGTGTTTGATTTGGAGGCAATGGATGCAGGCAGCTCAGCTGTTAAGTGGCCGTCCCCTGGAGAAGATCCCCCTGATGACGCTTCGAAAACCGGCTTGGTCATCTACCTATCACCCCAACCATGTCACCTGTTTACAAACTGGATTTGCATTTTCATTCGCATTCGCATTCTGCGCTCGTTGGTGGTTACCGCAGTCGAGGCCTAACTCTGGAGCAGGAATGTTGCCCACAGCCGGGTTCTGGCTTCTGCCGCTGATTCTCTGTGGGATTCCCTTCCTGGATGCCGCCGATCTCTGCCAGCCGGTGGGATGGCGCAGCTTTAAGTGCAACGAGCTCTCTTCACTGCAGGATCTAGTGGGCTTGGGGGCTGAGAACTGGCACCAACTCAGCATTCGGAATGAACAAACAGAACTGGAGGTGGGTTCAGGTAAGATCTACCAATCTAAACGGAAAAGTTTATTCAAAAATGTATCAAAATGAATCAACAAACTTTCAGGCGACACAGCTAATCACCTGGGCAACCTGGTGGAACTGGACTTAAGTGCTGCTATTCCCATCAATATTCATAGCGGTGGCTTCTCCATTTTGCCCAATTTGCGGTATCTAAACCTCAGCAGTTGCGGTCTCACCAACATTCAGGGTAACCACTTTGCTGCTGAGTCATCCCTCCAGCGGCTTGATTTTAGTCACAATCAAATGGAGATTCTCGATCGGGACTTTTTTGGTAATCTGCGGAAGTTAATTTATGCAAATTTCTCGCACAATTCTCTGACAAAATGCGATCTGCCTCACATGCCACTGCTCAATCGCCTGGAACTGGGCCACAACCGATTGATCAATGCCACCTTCGGTGTGTGTCCGCAGCTGCAGGAACTGATCCTGAATGATAACCAGCTGGAGCAGGTGAGTCAACAGGGAATTGGGATAAAATGTAGCCATTAAGAAAGTATTTTTTAAATAGTAAGTATAGGGTTTTCTATATTTTAAATATATTCTAACATCTTAAATTATTGTTGTCTTGGGTAGATATCCTTTTATCACACACCTGTAATAAGGCTGAGATTAAGTGTTTTGCAAGACTTCAATTCCTCAGCTCCAAACATAACAAGTCAGGCATTAATTATTACCAGTTTCCGGGAAAACTACCGTCATCACTACCATTTTTCAACATTTTTTATAATATCAAACAATATAGCTTTAGCTTTGATCTTGCCAGTTGACCGGAACCAACTCTGACGCTTAATGTTTGCCTTTAGCTGGATATACATTTCGGATATTTAATTGACCATGATGATCTTTGCGGCAGCTAAAATAATAGTTAAATATTGTTTATTTGTTTAAGGAGCAACACTTTTCAATTAAAATACTTTTTATGGCAATGAGAAAACTGATTCTAAATTTAAAGCTGATCGAAATATTTGCCAGCTTAGTTTTATTACCCAACAGTAAACATTTTTCTCCTAATTAACCATATAGTTACTTATTAATCCTAGTCAATATATTATTTTAAACTTTTCTATATATTTCCCAGTTGGACGTCAATGCTTTTCGCGGTCTCCATGGTCTGCTGCAGCTGGAGCTTAGTGGCAACAAGTTGACCTCCATCGGTCAGGAAACCTTTCAGCCACTGAATCAGCTGCGTATACTTAATCTCTCAAGGAACTCAATCGGTGCACTGCGTCCCAATGTGTTTGGTGCTGTTCAGAACTTTGTGCTCCATTTGCAGGAGCTTGATCTGTCCAGTAATCGCATGCGCCTGCTGTTCGACAACCAGTTCCGGGTTCTGGCCAGGCTACAAGTGCTGGATGTGTCCAGGAACAGCATAGCCAGCCTAAGTCCGGGTCACTTTGTGGGTCTCGGATCGCTTCGTAAGCTGTATTTGCAAAACAACGACATTCTGGAGATCAAGCCAGACACATTTTCGGCTTTGGTTAATCTGGATACGCTGGATTTATCATTCAATAGCCTGGAGTTCCTCGAGGAGCAGATCTTTGGAAGCAACACCTTGTCGCGCATGCGCAAGCTTAACCTCAATGCTAATCACCTGAAGAGGCTGCATCCGCTGGCTTTCTCATCGCTGCCATTCCTGGAATACCTCTCGCTGGGACACAACGAACTGAAGTCCTTGGATGTGCGCATGTTTGCTCCGATGCGTCATCTTCAGAAACTCCACCTGGGACACAATCTGCTGGAAGAGATCGGTCTCGATGTGCTCGAAAGCCTGAGCAGCGTGACCGAGGTCCTGGTGGATAACAACCGCCTGACCTTTCTGGCCAAGGTGAACGTGAGCTTCCCGAACCTGAAGCGCGTGGCAATCGAAGGCAATCCATGGCAGTGCCCGTGCTTCGTGAAGCTCCAACTTTGGCTGGCCACCCGGAATGTTGTCTATTTGCGTGAGAATACGGGCTACTATAAGGGAGAGCGACCCCTCTGCATCGTGACCACAGTGGATTACTGCATCCAGAATCTGCAGACAGTGCGGAGACTTAATATTCTAGGGGATTTCCAGGGCGAGCAGGTGCAGGCAGATGTCTTCGAGGAAGACGCGAGTGCAGCCCAAGACTGATACTTAAAGGTGTTGCCATTATAATTTATCAATAAATTGTTTTAAAAGTTTCATTAAATCATTATGTAGGTACGGGTATTTCTTCAAAGCGATATATTTGGACTTCTTAGTCCCTGCTTCGCCAGACAGCCTAAAAGATACCCAAATATCTTATCATATTCTTCAATAGCCGTAGGTTATGCTTTAACCCAAAAGATACTTGATAAAACTTCAACAAATTGTCTCAATTTAAAATGGAAACATTTTTAAACAGAACACAAACAATTTAACATAAAATAAAAGTTTTCTGACACAGATACTTTGAAGATATATTGGATCGATTTATCATCTTGCGGGCGTTATAATCATGTTTCCTGCGTCTCGAATGGGCTTTAATTTACAATATTATCAACTAAAACTCGAGTCGGTTTAAGCGGACTTGACGCGCAGGGCGAGAGCACTCAGATCGGCAATGCACTTGTTGAGGGTCTCCTTCTCCTGCTGGGGCGAGATGCTGGACAGCACATTCGAGGTGATCCAGTTGACCATGTGCTTCTGGTTGAGGCGACGCTCGACGTGACGGCACTCCACCTGGTAGTCCAGACGACGCTTCACCTCCGAGTACACATTCATGGCACGCTCACGGAAAGCGGCCTCCAACTGCAAGGCAATGTTCTCCTTCTTGGCCTCCATCAGCAGCAGAGCACCATCGGCGCGCCACTGCTCTTTCTTCTCAGCCTCGATGGCATCGGAGAGGACCTTCAGCTCAGCCTCACGGCCCTCCTTCCACTCGGACTCGATTTTCTATGGAATTTTAAATTAGTTTCTTATTATTTGGAAACTTTTTAATTATGGCTCAAGACTTACATCGATCTCGCCATCAGCCCACTTGGAGATGAGCGGTCCGAGCTTCTTCACAGCAATGACGGCCATGATGCCAAGGGACAGACCGCTGTAGTACTCGTGCTCCATGACATAGATCTCCTTGGAGCAGAGGTAGGTGATCAGACCAACACCGAAGGTGTAGGGTCCGGTGACACCAGTCTTGTTGTAGAAGAACTGGAACCACTCCTCGGGCAGGAAGCCCAAGCGCACCTTGCCGGGATGCTCGGGGCGCTGACGGCGCTCAGCTGCAGCTGGCTGAGCGGCAGCAGCGGCGGCCGACCGGGTGGCGGCCACGGTCAAAGGGCGCTGGGCTGCAAATAAAAATCTAGATTAGTATATTGCATTTAGAGTAACGTCCATTTCTGGTCCTTCCTCGCAAATTAGCAAAAATTATTATGCTTTTTTGACACCGTCGGTGATTACATAAACCACGATGTCCGGACGACAACTTTGCAATGCCGTAACATTTTTCACGGTCACTTTGAGGCGGAATATCGCTGGCTTGTGGCTTTATCTAAGCTCGTTGAGTGTTTTTAACAGGTACTCCATGGTTTTTGCCATTTACCTGTTAGAAGAGCGGCTCTCGAGAACATTTTTTCCAGGCAGTTGCGACGAATTTATGCTACTAAAAATTGCCCCAAAAATCGCACAGTTCACAATAGTAATCAGCGAATGACAGACTGGCCGAGGGTTGCCAGATCGTTCGAAAGTTGTTGTTTTACAATACTAGGTGGTGGGCGGTGCTTTAATACATATTTAAGTTTTACTTCAATTTTTATGTGCTGACTAGAATTAATTTTAAATTTACATCAACATTTTATTAGCCAAATAAAATTAACCTTTTTTAACTTTTGACAAGAAAAACTTAATTATAATATGTAAACATAACAAATAGATAATAGATAATAGATAATATCTTATTTTGTTATGTCTAGAAATTAAATATTTATATAATTATTTTTATTTTTGTAAGATAAACTAAAATATAAATTATTATTCAAATAATTTTCGTGGAAATTAAAAATTTATGTGTATTGACGCTTTTTAACTTTGTTTTTAATTGGTTGTGCAAATAATTCTTAATTTTCCCACAAATGTATGATCAAAATTATATTTAAAAATGTCAATTTTGGCCATTATTTAACCTTATAAATTTCAATTAATAAGTTAAAAGAAAACACCGTCATTTGTAACTTTACAAGTTTTTTATATTTATTTTAAAAAATATTACAATTTGCTAGATAAATTGTGCCTAAACGTAATCAGAATTAGCTGCGAAAAAAACAATATAATCATTAAAATACTTTTACAAAATACTATATAGAAACAGCGAACAGAGTTTGGTTTTTAAAATTGTTTATCTTCCTTTGTGGTAGTTTTGGGTAGTTTAAATCGTAATTTATTCGTTCTCTCAGTTCAAAAGCTATATATTTACGTGCAAATTTCATAAATTAATCATTATAAAGCATGAGCATCTTTGTTTTCGGCTAAACTAAATAAATGACTGTCTTGTGCGTGAAACTTAGGACATAAAACGTAAAAAACTAAACATTCAAAAATAGGAATAGGGAAATTTAAACAAAAAAACAAGGTTCGACTATTTACAGCAGTGAACGAACAGAAATAGGTATCTTCATTAAAACGTAATAATACACTTATCCGAATTATATGTTACAACTGTCAACTTATGCTTTCCTCGAGTTGTTCTTTGCTAGATCTCTTTCTCTTTTCGTATAAAAACTTAATGATTCTCTGCGGGTGTGTATTGTTGCCTAACATTTATAATGAAGGTGTGTCTGTGTGTAGGGTGGTGAGTGTACATATAAATGTTTTTGTTTTTGTTTATGCTCAACAGAATGACATAATGTCACCGTGACTGGGAAGGATGCAAAGGCAAACGTGTCCCCAGTTCACTCGATAAAGTTGAAGCGCGTGAGGAGCTTGTGGTAGAACCAACGCACCACCTGCTGAACGCGACCCGCCACCCAGGCGCACAGGCTGCTCGTATGGCGCACCTTGGAGGCATAGTGCTTGATGTGATCTGTGCAGAGAGAGTTAAGAGGGCAACCAAAAGTATAGTGAAATCATAAAAACGAAAGCGAAACAAGCTAGCCAGTTGTGGTATTTGGTAAAAGGATATAATAATGTCCAGGGCGGATGGCCGCCGTTGATGTAGTTCACATAGGTGAAGCCATCCTTGCCCTTGCCTCTGATGTTGTAGTAGTAGGGCAGGAACGAGTGTAGCGTGAATCTGGAACAGAAAAACGGGGTTAATAGACCCATGACACGCACACAACCGGACAACTACGACTACGAATACGAATACCTTCTCTTCTCGTAGAAAAATATGGCAGGTTGATTCGTGGTCAGCGTGTGCAGGAAGATCGCCTTCACCGAATACCGTTCGGCTGTCGTCAAGTGGTTCATGAGGGCGTCCAGCAGCAGCGATCCGATCCCGTTGCGGCGGTGGGAGCGATGAACGCCCAGCGACAGTATGTAGCCAACGTCGGCGGTGCGACCCATCGAGTCCGGCAGAATGCCCTTGTCCTGCATGGGAAAACCGCTCAGCCTGGTGTACAATTCATCACTATCACTCATATTGGCTATTACCTCCTTGTTGACATTTCGATAGGGTTTGATTTCGGCAACGATTAAACCAATTATGGCCAGATTATATACAGCCGCCAGCGCAAAGAAGCGCGTGCTTGAGGTAATATCCTCATACCATGAGAGTGGATAGTCGATTGGAAACCATTCTTGGCACAGCTGGCGCACCTGTGTGTAAGGAGAGAGAAAGGGGGAGGAAGAAAACAAGGGATACCGGATCACAGGGAGATGGAATCATTCCACCACCACTCACCTCTGTCAGGTCGTCGGGCACCAGGAACCGGAGCTGGACATCGTTAATAGAGCACAGCGGTACGTGATCGCAGTCGACGCGCGTACTATCGCCACTGCCCGGCGGCGCGCTATGTTTGTTGTACCTACATAATTGAGTTGGAGAGCCGCAAATGGTAATGGTTCATGATCTACGTATTAGTTTTGTCTTGTTTGGGTTTTAGGTTTCGGTTTCCACTTGCATAATACACGGCGACGCGGCGTCGGCGGCGCCGTCAATAGATAAACAAAGCAGAAGCTCAGCCCCACTCACTACTGACAGCCAGCGGTTGCCGGGGGAGTCCGTGGGTGCCCACTGATAACCATATACTCACAGTGTGAATTGCGCCATCCTATTGTCCGGGGGGTGCTGCTTGTGCCGGTGCTCCTCCACTGCTGCTGCTGCCACTGCCGATCCCACTGCTGCTGCTCTGTCCAATTAGAGCAATTATGTCCATTTATTGCCGCCGCCACCGCCGCTAAACAGGGTTAAGCGCGGAATCTTGTGTCAAAGGGAGAGAGCCCTCCGGTGAGGCTTTTGGCTTTGGATTGATGCGATGCAGTGCGTGTTTTCGGGTGTGCGCACTCAATTGGCTTCAATTAAAATTTACATTCGTCGCCCGCGGGGCGAAATGGGCGACAGGCGGAGATCGGATCGGGATTGGATCGGAACCACTTGCTGTCGGGCGGAGGTGGGTTCGGTAAGCACAGTGTGAATGAATCTTGGCGAGGCGTCTGTACGGTGAGTCCGCTACAACGCTAGCCAGGTGGTGCTGCTCCGCTGGTGTGGCATGCCGATGCTGTGCTGCCCGTTGCTTACAAGTTGCAGTGCCCCAAATGCTGTCTCATTTTCCAATTTTTTTGTTCGCCAAAAAGAATTAATGAAAACAAATCAGCGCAGTGTGACCGTGGCTGCGCAGAGCCCAAAATGCCACCGGAAGCGGAAGGCACTAAAAAAGCTTATCTCTACAAAAAAGAAATACTATGGAGAATAATTTTTAATTCAAATTTAATTAATTTTATTTGATACGATCTAATCTAATTAAATACGATATGAAAGGTACTGACGAAAGAAGATTAATTTCTGCTTAAGGTATTTTCGTATACAATTTAATACGATAAAATAAAACCTTCGGTTCAAATTTAAATCTGTATCGTACAATAATTGCTTAACATTTAATATTATTACAAAAATATTCAATTTTAAAAATTAAGCCTAAGAGCTTTTAAAACCTTCTCGTCTGTCCCACGGCTTGGGAGGTGCTTGGCGCTGGCGCCGATGGTTTGCTGGGATCCTCCAGCACCCGGACCACCATCGAGGACTTGGGACCTGTGCACCAGGTGATCCCGTTCTCGTCCACAACAAACGTCTCAAGTGTCACCTGAAAGTGACCACCACTAGAGATGGGCAGCAAAAAGCTCCCGGAGAGAAAATCGCGCTGGGGCTTCACAATCTGATTGAGGGTCACGGTGTCGTTGGCTCCCGGCTTGGATAGCTGGTCCTGCGTGGATCTCGGCGGAGGGGTAATTAGCTGAGATGTGAGGCTTAACTGGACGGACTCAACCCGTCGGAAGTGCTTCTGCTGTTTGCTAAAATGCTGCAGTACACCCTCCACTTTGATGACAAGGTTACTGCCCGACTGGACATTCACCGGCTCAGTTGCGCTCCTAGGCTGCGGACTTACCGACAGCTTGATCTGTGTGGACTGTAGGATCTGGAAGAAGTAACGCGGCAGGCAGAGTGGCGTCTTGGTGATGATTTCGATTTGGGCTATAATGACGTCCAAATGGCGATTGCTGATGGTCTTTGCATTTGCTGGCTCCAGTGGCAGGTTCTTCTGCATCTGCGCCATACGCTGGCAACTGGCCGCAAAGTACCGCGTCTCCGGGTGATCCCCAGTGGTAAGAAAGACGGGTGGTTCCGGTGGTGTGGCATAGCAGATAGACTCGATGATGTGGGCGAAGAGAGCACACTGGAACTCAGCTACCTGCAGAAACTCTAGTGTCACATGGTCGGCATCGAAAGAGGATTTGTAGAGCCTAGCATACGATTCCTCGCAGGCCTTTAGGGCCTTGACCAGCTTACGCAGCTGATTTGTAACATGGCCGAACTTCTGCAGGTAGTCCCTTGAGTTTTGAGCCAGACTTCCGGCGATGGCAGGCGGCGGCACAATCACTTGGGCATTCTTCACAGTCACCGCGAGAAGCAAGGTCTGCAGAAACTGTGCCCGTATCTTTAGATACTCCAGCTGAAAGGTGCACGGATGCTGAGGCGAGGAGCAAGCTCGTAGGCTAGCCAGAGCCTGCTGGTAAAGATTGCTGGCATTCTCCAAACGCTTCATCAGCGGCATCAAACTTTCTGGTGGTGCCTGCAGTGCGTTGTTATCCCGCATGACGGCGTAATCCAGTCCATAGTTGAGAATGCACTCGGCCTGCGAGATTTGCGAGAGCGCCACGAGGAAGTAGTGCATGTGATCGATGATCACCATCTGAGAAATCTTCGTGTATATGTGCGCAGCCACATAGTGATGGCCATAACGACTGGCAGTGCGTGCAATCCTGTACAGCGTCCAGCAATTCAGCTTGGACAAGCACTTCTCGAAAATGTTGGTCACCTTTTGCGGCAAATAACATCCCATTGTTGTCAGCAGTACCAGAGCACTGAGGATCTCTACGGTTTTAACCTGCTGCTCGCAGTTCTGCGGACTCTCAATGATGCTGTTTAACTTGTGCAGGATTAGCGGCAGGCGGGACAGCATGGGGTTCACTTTTGACGGCGGCGGCTCATCGGTATCCATGGCATTGCTGTCGTCCTCACCAACCAATCCCTCCGCTGTGGAGAAGGCATACTTGCGCAGCTGAAAGTGCTCACAGAGTCCAACCAAAGCTTCACACATAAGCTCCGCGTTGGCCGGCGGATAGGTCACCTTGTCACCCAGTGTGTTGGTCAGAATTTCGATGAATGAAGTCCCGAATTCAGCATTCGCTTGCGTGATCCTTATGCCGTAGGTCAGCACCCGACGAAGATCCCTGGTGCACTCCGCCCTCCTCGCCGTGCAGAGGAGCAATCCCTCCATGTGCAGGTTAACCATGTGCAAAATATCTTCCACCTGCTGCACGCCGCTCTCCTGCTTCTTCTTGAGTCCAAAGGCCCCGAGGACCGCAAGCACGGCCATGGCCTGGGTTGCTGTGGTTAAGTCGTCCAGCTTGCTGATGCACTGGATGCAAAGTTGAAGCAATGCCCCACGGTGCTCCCTTAGAAGCTGCTGGCAAGTGAGCGGGCACTCGCTGAGCTTCAGCAGAATCGAGAGGAAAAGGAACTGTTCCTGGGAATTAGTACACAGCTCGAATCTGCCAATTAATGCTTCAATCGCTGGCTTGGGCCAGGCATCCACGCTCTGTCTACCCGCCAGCTCGTTGAATGAGCGCAGCACCTGGACGCGTACGGGTGTGCGAAGATCTTGCATGAAGTCCAACAGAACCTCCAGCTGGCCGGGCACACCAACTAGTGTGCGTGAGGATAACTGGGTAAGCGTGTCTATAATGGCCACAACGAAGCTCTGGGCGGGATACTTTGGCAGCAGATCCATGCACAACCTACTGACAAGGGATGCTGTGGTGGCGTCATGATGCATGTGCCGCAGCACGGGAATTAGGAGCAGCTTCATAGGTACCGGCACCTGCAGCGACTCGATCATGTCTGAAATCTTGGCGCACATGCTGATGGCAAACGAACTAGACTGCGCGGCAAAGCAGCTGCTGGCATAAATGGCCGCCTCCACCTCGACGGTGTCGTGACTGTCCAAGGCCCTGCGGATGGCATGATGAACCTGCTGCTTCTCGGGAATAACACGGGAAACTGCGCCGAGGGTGCGCAGAAGCAGGGCCCGCGCCACCGGATCATTGGAGTGCATCACCATGAAGATGCGACGCACAAAGTTGTCAATGTTTAAGATCTTGTCCAGGTGGTTCTCGCTCTGCTGGCAGACTCGCAGCACCCAGAAGCGCAGGAGATTCGATCCGCTGACGAAGAACTCGGCCAGTTTGATGAACGAAGAGTTGATCAGGATGGGGAATGGGTACTTCTCGAAAAGACGCGGGAAGCGGACAATCGCCTCGCACTGGATTCCCTGCTTGGCACTACGCAGACCCTTGTCCAGCTCCATGAGCACGGCATTCGAGTCGTGCTCATTCTCGTTCAGGAAGCTCTCATTGAAGGTGCTGACACGGGTGCCGGTCAGGTGAGCCATGGTTGCAGGTGGATTCACTTACATTTATTTCCGAAAAACTTGATTTTCTTTAATTTTTTAAGGCCACAAACCGACAATAACAAACCGGCTGAAAAATTTTCTTCTTCTGAACAGTGCTGCCAACTCAGTCCGAAGGAATCCTGCTGAACTTGGCGGTATATTTAAGCGCTCTTGGCACGGTCACACCAAGGCAAAACAAAATAAAGTTGTGTTTTCTTTCATCGCAATTTCGTGATTTTTGTATTATGTTTGTTTTATCCAAAGGCACGTTAAAAAATTCATTATAAGCGTTACATTATTTAATTGAAATCTATACCTTCCCCACAGATGAGGAAAAGTTCGTTTTGTTGCCCTGTAAGTCTGTATATACCGTCGGTCGTCTCTCCACGGACCTAATCATTCAGGAGGACCTCAGTGTAAGTCGCACCCATGTCAAATTGTACTTATCTGGAAAGGATGATGAAACCCTCCAAGTGGAGGACCTGGACTCCAGGTATGGCACCTTCATTTACCAACGGAATGGCAAGGATGCTAAGAAGATCGCAACAAGGACACGGACCCCGCTGACTGCGGGTATTTGTTTGCGTTTCGGCGGAAACACTAGCGTATGGCAGGTGTCACAGCTAAAGCTGGTGACCACGGCCTCGGCTTTGACGCGACCTCAGGTCCAGGAACTGGAGGAGTTGCTGAAGCCCCTGGGCGCAGTCGTTAGCCTAAATTGGACTGAGGAGTGTTCGCATCTCACCATGAACGAAGCCTCGGTCACGGTGAAGTTACTACACGCTCTGCTGGAGAACAAGCCTATTGTTACCTTCGCCTTCTGGCGAAAGTTGCTGCAGGTAGCACAGCGAACCCACGTGAAGGAGGGCTGGCCACAGCCCAAGGATTACCAGCCCACTAACATGGATGTTAAATGGCGACCGGAACGCACCACCCTATTTGCCGGCAAGACGTTCGTCTTCATGAATCGAAAACACTTGGAGATCTACGGGGCAGTTGTCCAGAAAGCTGGCGCTGCCTGCAAAGATCTCAAATCCGGGGTGCGCAAAAACTTTCTGACCAAGAAGGATGTTATAGTAATACAATACGTGCCATCAACACAGTCTCAGGCCACTGAAAGTTTGAATAGTATTCAAGGTAAGCGCGTGAAGTTCATGTAGCCGAGTAATATCTGTCATTTCCTCTGTAGAGATCCTGGAACAGGCCGGTCTGCGGGTTATCCAGGAGTACGAGATTGGCATGGCGCTGCTACACTGCTCCATCAAGGAGTTCTGCAATCCAGCGCACAAGTTCATTAACGATTCGCTGCCTACCACAGAATCTGTGACCTCCTCGATGGACTTCAACTCCTCGATCCTGGCGCCCAACACCGAACGGAATGTAGGTCGATCCTGTGCGGAGATCATTTCAGAGTTGACTGTGCCCGAATCGGAGGTCCCACAGCAGCCCGTGACCTCCAAGCGTACGGCCCAAAAGCGCCATTTTGATGCCGTAATACTGGAGTCTTCGGATGAGGAGCAGGAAAAAGCCGCTTCAAAGCGAGCCAAACCTATGCTCCAGGAAAAACCAATGAGAATTGAAAAGAATAATGCCATAGAAGTAAATTCTTCCGATGAGGATGAACCTCCCGCACCAGTGCCGCAAAAAAAACATTTGAAACAGAAAGTCACTCCTGTATTTTGTATTGATTCCTCGGATGAGGAGAACAACAATGATGCCGAGAAGCCAAAAGAATCGTCAGCTCGTGAGGTCAACATTCCAGAAACCAGGAACAAGGCAGATTCGGAACTCATAGACAACGCCCAGTTGGCCACAAAGAAGCCAATGCCATCGGCAGTAACCAGGACATCACCACGCCTAAAAGCCAACACAGAGGCCAAAAATATAACAAATAAGCAGGCAGAGAAGCCCATAGGTCAAACTAAGCGTCCCGTTCTACCCGTTGCTTTCGATCCTGAGGACGACAACGATGCAGCAGAGCTTTTCCAATTCTCCAAAACACCACAAAAGCCATTGGAGAGAAAGTCAGCGGCTAAGGCCAACAATCCCCCCGGCAGAATAAATGTGATCAATTTCCTGCAGAAGTCTCAGCCGCAGGAGTCCTCCCCGAAATCACAGCTTCCTTCCCAGTCCCAAACCGAGTCCCGTAAGCGGCCCCGATTGGAGCTACTAAACGAAAGTGATAGCGATGACGGCGAAGATTTATTCAACTTCGCGGATAGCAATAAAAAGAAGCAGAAAAAGACGGAACTGACAAACGACGACTCCAACGACGGCTTCTTCAACTTTAACAACTCGGAAGAGCGGCAAAGCGGTTTGGTCAACCAGGACTTTGTGCAGACCGAGCCATTCTGTCCGGAAACGGAATTAGAAAAGGCAAAATCCAAGTATATAGTACCACAGCGCAAGGAGCAGCCCCGAAAAGTGGATGTAAGTGGTTGGCTATCGTGCATCAGGCTGCACGACAGTGACATCAAATCGGAGGCGAATGTGAGCGTGGAAATGGCATCGCTTGCTGGAGCCAAGCTGGAAAAATCTCTTAAAGAAGATCCGGATTCAGAGGAGGAGGACTCGAAGAAGCATTTAAAATGGATGGCCGCCATGAACGATGGCATTCAGGTGCGCATGTGCAACCTGAACATCACCACCACTCGCAAAACTGACGCAGTAGATGCGGCTTCTCTGAATGGATCGGCAAGCAACAACTACGGTGGCCGTAAAAACTTTAAAAAGTTTGTCAAGGTAAAGTGTTTGTTTTTCAATTTGATGTTGATTTGAACTTGGCTTTCAATTTCTCCACAGACGACCAATCCGCATCCACAGCGTCGCGTTGTGAGTCTTAAGCGTTTACAGCTGGTAGATGGCATGGTGACCTGTACGTAAGCATAAACTTTTGAGCCTCTACTTTATTTTGCTTATAATAAACTTGCGAAATATACTTAAAGCCTTGGCTGGATCTTTGCCTAATTTACGCTGAAAAAGGGTCTGGGCCGCAAGCCACTCATGCTTGGAGATCCTCATTGTCAGGCAGCTCTCTGGCGGAGGATTCTGATTCCTGGCCTTGGTTTCGCGGGCAATAAAGCGCTGGGCATCCTCAACAGTGGCCAGGACTTCAGCTGCATTGAATTTAGGCTTCGCAGATCTTAAAGTATTACTTGGTTCCTTCCGGGCTATCACTGTACCCACATCGGACTTGGCTCTTTCCACTCTGGTCACGACTTCTTTTGGTTTCATTAGAACAGGAGCAGGGGTGGGTGATGTTACCTCCTTGGTACTCACAGGTGAGCTCAATTTTGCAGGTAAATCCTGATTATCCATTAGAAATCGGTGCTTTTCCACTTGCGGAAAATTGGGGACTTGTGGCCATAATCTGTTGTAGAGATCGGCACTGTGGCTCGCCTGAAGGGTGCTCAGCTTATTGATCTTGGCAATGGCTGCCAGCAACAGGGTGACAAAATCCATAAAGAAGTTATTCCGCAGGAGCTGGGTGAAATACGTGGCTGCGCTGATGCAGCATTCCCGGATTCGTTCGTGGAGATGATAGAAGCTGAGAAGCCGCACCAGAATGAACTGGAAGCTGCTGCGCGTGGGCAAGACCCCGTCAGAATCCCCATCACATACATCCGGCAGAGTGCCTCGGAACTGTTCCAGATCCCTGGCCAAATCCAAACGTAACAACCGACACAGAGCCGCGTTTAGTTTGCAGACAGTACGGAAGCCAGGAACATTTCGAAACGAGTTTTTCCGGCGGGCCATTAGTCGTCCAATTAACGCCGCCGTCTCGTCGAACTCCTTCGTCTCCTTCTCTCCGCACTGTTGCAAGAGGAACCTGTTGATATCCACATAGACATGCTTGGCTGTGGAGTGTAGGAAGTGTAAGTGAAAAATCTTGCTATCTGGTGTTGGCTACCCACCGAATCCAGTGTTCTCCACTTGCAGTGTCACCAACGGTGGCTTTTTTAATTCAAATTCGTTCCAAAAACAAGGATTCCCCGAGGAGGCCATGCTGCAGACAAAAATTTGTAAATAAATAAAGAGGACTGCCAACTTAACGGCACTGCCAGCTGTTATAATGAAGTATTGATGGTATTTTAGTCACAGGGTGACAGGGTCATACTAGTTCTACACGTGCGAACGAATTGCACGATTTAATAACTTAAGCACGTTTATTTGGAAAAACATGAAGAAAAAACAGGTGGAAAGCGCATCGGAGGAGGAGGAAGTACTGGCGGAAGACTCGGAGGTATCCGATGACGAAGAACTGTCAGCAGAAGGCTCTGAGGCATCCGGTGATGAGGACGACTCTGAGGCATCCGGCGTGGAGGAAAACAGCGAACTAGACCTGGCCGCCAGTTCAACAGAATCCGATGATGATGACGACGAGGAGGAGAATTCAAAACCTACACCCAAGAGTCGGGCGGAGGTCATAGACGAGCAGATCCACAGCAAGTACGAGCAGCTGAGGGGCACCCGGCTATACGTCCGCTTTCCCAAGAAACTGCCGCTGGATGTGGATGAGTTTAATGCCAAGGTGAAGGCGCTGCATCCGCTGGTGGTGAAGGCACTGAAGCCTCGACAGAAGCATGCTCGCTTTTGCCTTGTGGAGTTCAAATCCCAGAAAGAACGCGATCAGGCTCACGAGGACCTCAAGACCTCTATTAAGACCGATGACGAATACAAGGGATTCTACATCTCTTTGCCCAAGACCGACTCCGCGGAGTTCATCAACGAGCTCGTCACCCGCAAGCAAACCTCTGTGGAGAACAGGCGAACCAAACGCCTGATGAAGCGCGCCAGCAAGAAGGCGCTGCAGGGCAAGCGCAACTTTACCTCGTCCGTGGTCATCACCAATCTGCCCAAGACCGCCTCTGTGGCTCAGGTGCGCCAGCTATTCGCCGAAGCAGTTGACATTCAAATTAAGCCGGGTAAGGGTAAGTTCCGTGACGCCAGTGCGGCGACCATAACCCTGCCATCGACCCACGATGCACGCAAGGCCATCAAACAAAAGCTGAGTCTGGCCGGCACGGAACTGATACTGCGCTTCAACACCCAGACGAAGCGAAAGACCAAGCCCAAGGCCAAGAATGGCAAATCCACTCCTGAAAAGAATAAGAACCAAGGAGAGAAGAAGATTCCGATAATGCCCAAACAGCAAGATAAGCAGCAGAAGCCTAAAGTAGAAAAAGGGGAAGCCCCCAAAATCAACAAACCAATCCAGGCCACCCAGCAGAAACCGAAAGAAAATCTTAAGAGAAAGACACCTCCTAACGGTGGGGAATCCCTTAAACTGAAGACACCGAAAAAGTTGAAGAAACTTATCGCATAAAATATATTGTAGTTGTTAAAATGTTCCCTAATTTTAATAAAAAAAAAAACAATAATTTTTAAAATCAACATAGACAGGGTCTTAATGGCAGGATAAGCGATTAATTGGTGTTTACACGTACAGAACTGATCGTCACGATAGCTTCCGACCTTGAAACTCTGGGCTCAAATAGATTTTATTCCATCAAAGATACGGCTTTTCCAAATAACAACCTGATGGCATGATGACGGCTAATAAAGACCGATTTAAATGTTTAAAATATTTATTATCGTACACGATATACAGACATAGATATATTTATATATGTATATATATATATATATTAATAAGCCGGCTGAGTGATTTACTGGATATACATTCATTGATTGGGTTATTTTAGCTTATATACTTATGAGATTTTTCATGTGCACAGAGTTCATTGACGGGTTCTTGTGTTCGATTTTTGTAGCTTCAAAGGTGTAATATTTGTATTATTTAGCCAACAGTAAGCAGCGGGCAAAGGTAATGGTAATTCATATGTATAGATTCAATCCTAGTACAAAATATTCAACATTGCGTATATGCATTAACATTGGGGCTTCTGTTCTCTACTCTGTGTATCCTTGCTCCTCCTTCGACCTTATGTATTTATATATTGCATATAAACGCATGTCCCGCCATGTATCCTGTTGCTGAGCATCGCGGCGGGTCGCTTTATTGATTTTTGCAATGCTACCTCCCTACCCTAGCAGAAGAATCGATAAGTGGGCGAAAAGAACGTTATTTTACGAGGCAAAAAGAGGGGGGAACAAAAAAAATGCACATTAAGGGAGGAATTAGAAACTCGATTCTCGTTTTTTCGTTTTTTTTTAAGCTTTTTTTGTTTGTTTCGTTTTTTGTATAGCTCGTTAAGGTAGTAAATATTCTTAGTTCCTATATAATGAATTGATTTTTCGAGTTTTTCAAAATCCGTGTAAATATAATCAAAATTTATATATTCCCTTCGTAGCTCTATATGTATTGAATCCCAGAAACAAAGCCGTCGCCAGCCAGCCGCATTCCTACGGATTTCTATGTTATGTCCACTGTTCTCGCTATCTCAAGCAGTCTCACATATTTGCTGTTATTTGTTCATTCTCCTCTCCTCAAGTCTCTTTCCTCCTGCTCCTTATCCTCCTTTTTCACATGACTTCGTTTTATTTATTCATTTATCTGTTCACTTTACGCTCGCCCTTGGATCTCGGGCTCCCCTGAACATCCGCTCAAGTTGCTGATAAACTGGTGTTTTTGCAAAAAGAAAAGTACCTCTCGCATATATGGATGTGGACAAATATTGTGTGTGTCGGCCGATAAGAAAGTTATCAAGAATCAGGAGCCACCTCATTCCTCCTATCTGTCTCGCATTGAATCCGCTCTGGGGGTTATCATGAAATTTAAAACCTGACTCTACTGTTGTGTTGGATTGGATTGGTTTGGGTGCTTGGCTCTTTGGATAGCAGTAATATTGTAGTAATGTGTAGTAGTAGTATTCCCCGCTTCTAAATTACGTGTGCAGCAGCCGGTCCCGGGCAGACGGCGAGCAATTCTGCGGAGCTGCCGCCGCTCCGCCTCCGCTGCCACCACCTGAGTTGGGTGGCGGCGGAGGCGGTTGCGCCGGCGGCGATCGCAGCGGTATGGATGGCTGGACAAACCGCACACGCTCCGCATCTGTGGCTGCGGCGTTGCTGCTGGCCGCCGCCGCTCCGGCTGCCGCATTGAAGGCCGACGTGAAGGCGGTGGCGGCTCAAAGGGTATGGTAGTTACGCTCGTTGCGGGCCTTGTAGAACTTGTAGGCCACCAGTCCGATGGCAAGTAGGCCCAGGGTGAGCACAATGCCTCCAATGAATGAGGATCCATCAAAGCGGCCGCACGGCGGCTTTGGAGCCGGAGTTGTCGATGTATGGGGCGGCTGGGTCGTGGTCGTTGAGTTTGAAGGCGGCGTGGGTGTGGTCGATGTAGTAGTGGTAGTAGTAGCTGGGGTCGTGCTGCTTGTGGTTGTTGTAGTGTCTGGAGGAGTCGGAGTAGTCGTAGATGGGGTGGTGGGCACCGTTGTCGTCTTCTCCGTTGTGGTTGTTGTGGTCGGTGGAAGAGTAGTCGTGTCTGGTGCCTTAGTTGAGGTGGTTGTTGGGACCGATGGAGTAGTGGTGTTGTCCGGAGCCGGAACTGGAACAGTAGTTGCCTCTGAGGAAGTCGGTTTGGGTACGACAGTTGTAGTGGTTACTAAAATATAGAATAATCATAAAATCGAGTTATCATTACTTCGGATAAAATGAGTGAAGCCTAAATTGTTTTAATTCTGGATGCTTACATTTATTTTACATTCTATCGACATACATTGGTAAATGTTAAAGGAAATAAAAACCTTAGCCAAAAGCTGCACATTTATATGTAAAGTATATAAAAAATGCTTAAAAAATTCAAAGAAATATTTTATTTTATTCTTTGGAAAAAGCCCTTATCATTCGAAGTTTGCAGGAAATATGGATCCCGAAGGAAACAAAAATGCACGACCGATTAGCATTTATTTGATTTATTAATAACAACTTTATCAGGGGGAAAGAAGTCGTCTGTATGTATGTATGCATGTACGTGGAGCTTGGAGCATGAGTCATTATTTCAATGGGTAATTACACTGTGTCCATCGTACATTTAAATTGGAAAAATGCACGTAACAAAGATGGGGATTGGGAGAAATTTGTGGTGTTTGTAACCAAATAGCAAATACCAAAACATGGACAAGTGTAATGGAAAATTACAAGCGGGTTCCGACAAATTGTTACCGGAACTTGTAAAATGTGCAGATTACGTTAATTTGAACCTTACCCCCAGCCGGAGAAAAAGAGAAAATGGCCGGGAATTGATATTCAATATCGGATTCTTCTTTGACATAAAAAAAACCCCACACTCGCACACACATGCAAGTGCCTGCCAGGCTGCACATGTGTGCGTATGTACCTAACAATTTCTTCTTGTTCTTCTACAATTTGTACATATTGAGGGCTCGACTAAGATTTTGATTTTGAAAAATATTTACTTACCATCATCGCACAAGTTCAAGGAAAAAAGGCCCACAAACAGGCAGAAGACCAGCAATTTTGCCTGTCGATTCATTTTGGAGAAGGGCACGGGCACGGGCACGGCTACAAGAAGAGGAGTATCTGCTATGGCCGCGGCAGCCTGCAAAAAGTGATTTGCCAGATGGAACGAGATTCACGCAGACGGTTATTAACAATTATTGCACAACTGCCGACGTCGCACAGTTCCTGTTTTGCTCACCACAAATTAAAGCAACGCGCAATTAAGAAATGAATAACACGTAGAGCTTAGTGTGACCGCGGAATTTTACATTAATTATACCGTCCGGCTGACAAAAATACATTCTACCAAGTTTGTTTAAAAAATACCGAAATATACCATTAACATTTAATTTATATATTTAAGTAAGGTATAGAGAGGGAACCAAGAGTGCATTTCTGAAAAACGACGAATAAAACTTTATAAATCAATAAAATAAAAAACTTTGTTATTGAAACTTAACTGTTTATTGTACATAGCTCGTAAAATTAGCTTTGAACAACCAAAAAAGGGAAATGATAATATGATAATAATAATGTCATAAATAATAAATATAACAAAGCAAAGTAAGGAAACCAGTATTTTAGTGAAATTTTTGTTAAGTGTGACCGTGCATTTTACATAATTTGAAACTGCTCACACTGGTACTAGTATTTTTGTCGTTATCCCACACTGGTGGTTGGTGATTCAGATCCAAAGAATAAGCAACATTATTTTTCCTCTGTTTATGGGCCTTGTGCATACGGAACTCGTGGAATTCGCATAAAAAAGTCCAACTGGAAGATGACCTCGTACGTGCGCGCCATGTACGACTTCAGCGGCGAGCCGGGCTCCTCGGAGCTGTCGATCGCTGCTGGTGATGTGCTCTCGGTAACGCGCAGCGATGTGGGCGAGGGCTGGTGGGAGGGAAAGAACGCCCGTGGCCAGATTGGGCTCTTCCCCGCCGCCTACGTGGAGGTAATGTCTGCGGCGGAGGCCCAAAAGCTGAACGCCAGTGGCGCCGCTGCGGTTCCCCAAGTGCCTGATCCGTTTGCCTCACCGCCACTGCCTCGCTACGATCAGACCGCAGACGATGATGGTAGCAACTGGGACGATGAGGACGACTGGAGCGATGACAACGAAACATACTCGGAAATCGGTCCAGGACAAAAGAACGCGGGTCAAACAGCACGAGCCAGTGGCATGTCCCACTCTACTAGTGACTATGACAACAAGCATCTACCTATCGCGCCCAACAATGACGACGCCCAATCACTGGCCTCCGTCTCTGGAGCCGGAGCATCAGGCACCGTCAAAAAGGGCATGTTCGCCAAGAGCTCCGACTCTTATATCCTCGGTCTGTCCAGCACCAAGGAGAAGATACCCGAGTGTGAGCTCGCCTACATTACTCAGGTGGAGGATCTACCGATCTACCAGTGGACGCAGAACCACTCGCCCTATTCAGTTGTGGTTGCCAGTCCCAAGAAGGAGTCCAAGTTCAAGGGGATGAAGACGTTCATAGCCTACCAGCTGACGCCTAGTTTCAACAACATATCCGTAAGTTTGCTATCTCGCCCCGCCGTGATTAACAACGCAATGCGATAAATTCCCCTCGCCTCAGTAAATCTCTGTGTGTGTCAGTCAGTCATTCAGTCGGTGTTCCTTTTCGTCTGCCCAAGGGTGACTTTGGGTTGAGTAACTGGCACGCCGACCAATCCTTTGTTTTCCCACTTAATTGCAGTCCGAGACTCCAATGGGTGACCTTTCCTTAAGTCGAAGAGCAATTAACGAAGATGCAGTGGCAGTTTACATAACTTGAAGTTGCATAGAGAAAGAGGAGAGGTTAGAAAGTCCAGAATGTGAGATTATAAAGAAAAGTTCAACGACAATTAAAGAGTATTTCGTAATCGGTCTCATATAATTTAAAGACTTCTTTGTTGGGGCTATTCTCTGGCCACCAATGTGCGATGATTGCTTCTGTTTCTGCCACCACCGCTGGGTATGATGATTCAGCAACAAACCCCCGTCTCCGCTGCGTCCCACATTTCGTGTCACATTTCAAAATTAATTGGTTATATCTAATCTCGGTTTTCGCTTTCGTTTTTAGGTGTCGCGTCGCTACAAGCACTTTGACTGGCTGCACGAGCGACTGGTGGACAAGTTCTGTTTGATTCCAGTGCCACCGCTACCGGATAAGCAGATCTCTGGGCGCTATGAAGAGCAGTTTGTGGAGCATCGGCGCGTCCAGCTGCAGGAGTTCGTGGACTGGGTGTGTCGCCATCCGGTTATCTCCAAGTGCGAGGTCTGGTATCATTTCCTCACCTGCCGCGATGAAAAGATCTGGAAGTCGGGCAAGCGCAAGGCGGAGCGTGATCCCTACATGGGTGTCAACTACTGCTTGGCCATCTCGCCTCCGGACAAGAATCTACTGCACTCCAAGGTGGACGCCCAGCTGGATAGCGGTGTGCAGTTCATTCACAGCATGGACGTAGCCGTTCGCAATTTAAATAACATTTCCAACGACATGGCCAAGCGCTCGATGACGCAGAGTAAAAAGGAATTCCAGCGCATCGGCGATGGACTCTCCGATCTGGCCAAGGCTCTGGCCATTGACGAGAGGCGAGCACCCACCAGGAACGCTGTTCCGCTGTCGGAGAGCGTAGGCCGCATCGGTGGAATTTTCATAGGTATTGGCCAAGCCTTTGGCGACCAGCCAAAGTTCGATTGGATTCCACTTTCCGATCGACTGCATATCTACAGGTAAGATTTAGATCTCTTAATGTACAAGGAAATCCTTAACCTAATTCTTTATTTTCTTTATATAAAAAAGGGGGGTTCTCAGCTGCTTTCCGGACATCTTCTCCACCCACAAGGGCGCAATTCAGAAGCGCAAGGACTGCGAACGATCAACTGCTGAGGGCAAGATGAACAACGCCCAGATGCAGGACGTGAATCGGCGCACCGACATTGTCTCCTACACGGTGCTGGCAGAGCTGAGTCACTTCAAGAGCGAGCGGGATACACATCTGAAGCATACGCTGAAGAACTTTATTGCCGAGCAGATCAAGTTCTATCAGGGCGTGGTGGCGCGTCTGCAAGAGGCCAGCCGTCAGATCGAGTAGATCTCATTACTGGATCGGAACGGGAGCCAGCCGAGAGCACAAAGCAACAAAGGAACCACACACACACACACAACCACTTCCACAGATACAAACATTCGCACGCGTGCATTTCAAATGCTTTAGATGGGAGCTCCTACTTTAAGCGTGGATATAACTAAATGCTAAGCAAAATGTGTAAACATAACTGTTAAGAAACAAAAGTTGCGTATTTATACAGAAATTAACTTTTATATATGCCTATTATACATATACACTGGAAATTGAAAAGCCAATATATGATTATATATATTTATGAAATGAAAGCATTGTTTCAAGTACTAAAAATATTGCCTATTAGTGTTTGTCAATCATATTTGCGATATTTTTCGATAATATCAACATTTTTACGTTAATTGCTCTGTTTTTTGATATCTGCAAATTCGATATCTCAAAGCTTACGAAATTTTCGATATGATATTAAGAGCGTTATTTTTTCGCCTTAGAAGATGCTCAGCTCCTCTGAAATAGAAATAAGCTCTAACAGATGAGTGACGAAAAAGGTGCTACCCATCCAGCACAACATTCACCCTTAATCATCTAATCCGCCCGTGCTGGAGAAAAAGTCGTGATCTTTTTGCTATTCTGTTGCCTTTATCAGCGAAATTCTCTAAAAGGGTTGCTCTTTATTTTGTCCATTTTCATGTTCATGCTTTTTGCCATTTTCGCGTTAATAAGTTTTGTGATTCTTGTTGTGTTTTGGTTTTGTTTTTGTTTTTTGTATCTAGAGAACATAAATGTTAGATTGCACATGTTAAGGGGTTATCCTTGCATCGTGTTCATAAATAATATAATCAGCGTAATATAACTACATAGTAAAAACAAAAAGAAAAACACATTTCGGAATGAATACAAAATTGGTTGTTGTTGCCTTTTAGCGCTGCGGTTTTCGTTTTCTTTTTTGGTAAGGGCCCAAGGATCGAGGATTGTCCTGGCGAGATGATTGGGGATTTGGGATAGATGGATCTGGGGGAGGGGAAGGGGATCACTAAGTGGTAATACATCTAGATAAAAACGCTATATACAGACACGCACGAGTTAATAATAATAATAATATAACGCAGCTTGAGATAATAATAATAATAGATTTTGGTTAACAATAATACAATAATTAGGTTTTTCCACTTCTTTTTTGCCATTCACTCTTCTACAATATTTTTTGTTTAGTTTTTTTTTTTGTCTCATTTTCTTATTTGTTTTTCTTCTTTTTTTGTTTTGTTTTTTGTTAACAAACTACCAATAACAAATTTTTACTAATTCAATTTAAGTTTTTGTTTCTTTCATTCGGTTTTCTCGCTTTTGTTTTGTTTATAAATTATTGTTGTTGCTTTCGGGGTTACCTTGTTGCTGTTGCTGTTCCTGTGTATATATTAAATTAAAGGAAAATTCATGGTTTATCCTTTACCAATTCCTGGCGGTAAAAACGGCCTATATACGACGCCTCTAAATATATATAGTTATTAATATTACACATAAGTGTTATATATGTATGCCTATATGTGTGTTTATGTTTAATATGCAAGTGTTGCTGATGGGGATGCGATCCTCTCTGTGATCCTTTCTCTTGCCTAGCCATAGTCGCCACCGAAGCGTCCGTGCTTATTACTGTTGCTCCCGTTGCTGTTCTGCACCGCTGCAGCGGCTGCCGCCGCCTGGGCGGCCTTTTCTGCCAGCAGGGCCGCCTTCTGTTGCATGTAGGGATTGAAGTGTTGCATGTACATAGAGGCAGCTGCTGCCGCCGCATAATTGTTGGCATAGTTGTTGTTGCTCCTTTGGTTGGTGCTGCTGCCGCTCCACTGCTGCTGTTGCTGGAGTTGCTTATGCTGTTGCTGCTGCTGCTGTTGGTGTTGTTGCTGCTGTTGCTGCTGTTGATGGTGATGTTGCTGCTGTTGCTGCTGCTGTTGCTGCTGCTGGTGCTGCTGCTGGTGCTGCTGTTGATGTTGCTGCCAGTAGCCCTGCTCCGCCGACATGTAGTTGTTGCTAGCATCGCTCTCCTTCTGATACAAATACGAATTGAGAAGCGATTCGCGTGCGGCGGCGGCGGCCGCCATCTGATTGCTCTGGAACATATTCTCCATGGCCGCCGCCGTGGGATAACAAAACTTGTTGCTACTATTGTTGCTGTGATTTTGATTGTTGGCTGCTGGAAGTTGTGATTGCTGTTGCTGATGTTGTTGCTGCTTGGCCACGGTATGGTAGTTGCTATACTCATGGTGCTGCTGCTGCTGCTGTTGCTGCTCCTCGTAGCTGGCCGTTGTCCTTGATCCCGCTGCAGGTGATGGTGGCTCCTTATGAGCCCGGCTTGACTGTCATTCGCCAGTGGCCGTCACTGTGGTCCACTGCCAGGGGCTATTGTAGCCCTGTTTGGGATTGCTGGAAAGGTTTGAAGAGGTGTTAAAAACAGGTAAAGCAACCACGAAACGAGATAACTACTCACCTTCCAAAGAGAGGATGCCACAGCGCCGAGTTGGCATCCAATCCGGCTGCACCGGCGGCCGCCGCTTCGGCGAGATGCTGCTGTTGCTGCTGCTGCTGGTGATCCTGGGCGAGCATATTGCCACGCTTTCGCTGCTGCTGGGAGCCGACGGACGAGTGCTGCTGCAACTGCTTGGCCTGCTCTAGGGGATTGTAGGTAACGCATGCCTTGCTGGACCGAAGTGTGCGTCCGCCGGTTACCGTTTCCTTGCCCTGATCCGGAGCCGTTTTGTGCATCGAGGAACGCCCTCGCATACCGTCAAAGGGCACGTTGAGCAGGGACACCACATTCGCTTCCGGTTCCAGCAGATTCGAGAGGGATTTAATGGTCAGTCTGGGTTTGTGCTCTGCCGGAGCTGGCGGTGGAGCGGCAGCGGGTGCTGGAGCAGGCACGGCGGCGGGCGCAGGAGCGGCAGCAGCAGCTACACTCGTGTCACCTGACGCCACCTTTGATTTGGTGAAGTTGCTAATGGTTTCCGTTTCCGGCTCCCTCCTGGGACGCTTGTGCTCTTGATGATGATGCGAGGATGCAGCGGAAGATGAGGATGATGCCTCCTTGGAAGCCTCCCAATTAAGGAACTGCGGCAACTGCGGCTGCAACAGCTTCTGCATGAGAGCCAGCTCCACAGGATTGGTGAACCCGTTGAAGGCAGTGGTGGCGCCACTGGCTGCACTTGAAGGAGGTGGAGCATGAGCTACCGCCGCTGAAGGAGCGGGAGTGGGCACCTTGGGCTGCTGCTCCTCTGGCGGCTTCTGTTTCATGCACTGCTTGTACAGTTCGTCCAGATGCTGCAATCCGAACTGGCTGTTGTACAGCGGCAGCAGATTGCTCATGAACTTCCTTTGCAGCCCCAGCGGATCCTTGATGTTTTTGAAGAACTCCTGCGACAGTTGGCCAAAGTATGGCAGCCACAGCATCTGCTGGAGTAGCGCCAGCGTAGTGGCATTCAGATCCGTGGAAAGACTGGAATCCGCCGCTGGCGAGGGCGGAGTGGGGACCACAGGAGCCACTGCTGTGGGCTTGGGTTGAGCCGGCACGGGTTTGGCCTGAGATTGCTTCGGGCTGGGACTCCTCGCCTTGCTGCAAGGCACCACAATCACTGGATCTGGCTCCTTTGTCACTTTTGCCGCTTGCTCCGCCTCAGTTTTGAGTATGGCCTCTAGCTGCTCCATGGTCACCACGAGAATGTTGGGATTCTGAATTATCTCCGGATAGGCAAAGGCCTCCGGAAGACGCAACTCCGGCCTGGTGGTCAGCAGCAGGGGAATCTCACGGGCTGGAGAGGCCAGCACGGCTCCGAGGCGATCCTTTGGCACGAGTATTGGGTCTGGGACCTTCCACTGCGGGTTACTAATCAGCATCTTCAGTTGGGTAAGGGCATCCGGATCCTTGTCCATCTTGATGCTGGCTTTCGGACGCTTCTTGAGCGGCTGACTCGACTCTTCTTCCTCCTCCTCGTCGTCAATCACTACTGTCTCCAGTTTGCCTTCGCGTCCTGCCTTGCCGAGATCCATGGGCTCCGCCTGCTGCGGATTGTTATTGCTATTGTTCAGCTTGAGGAACTGCTCCAGGATGAGATTTTTAATGGTTTCCGAGGTGGTCTCCACCTCGGCCGGGATGGAGTTGGCCTGCAGCTGCAGGTCCCGTTCCGGGGACTTGAGTATATCCGAGCTGGAGGTCACTGCGCACTGGCTGCGCGACTCGGAGGGCGGACACACCTCTTCGCGCTTCTTGTAGCTCAGGTCCTTCGGCGTCTCGTCCACTCCACTGGCTTTGTCCTTTTCCTTTTCTGGCGTGGGAGTCATGGGCGTTGGGGTTTGCGTCATCTCAACAGTGGCTGGAGTGGGTGGCTGTGGTTCTGGCTCGGCGGCCACCGCCTCCTGCTGTTTCTCGAATGCCTCGATTCCTAGGAAGAGCTCTCCGTTCAGGCCCTCGATTTCGCCAGCCTCATTAAATGACAGGCACTTGGGCGCGTCGTCGTCATTGTCCATGTTGAGGATGCTGGGTAGATCCTTGCCGAGATCGGGCACGCAGAAGGAACTCAGTTCGTCGCCGGTGGAGGAGGTGGAGGTGTTCTGCGGATTATTGCACCCGCTGCTGCTGGTCTCCTGGACGAGGTTATCCTCGCAGCTGCGCTTCACCAGGGAGTCCAGCAAATCCGCCCCACTGCTCCCGTGATCACTGCTGCAGTTCTGCAGAAGATCATCGGCATCGTCAAGTAGATCCTTTAGATTCTTGGTATTCGCATCGAGACTCTCCGCGGAATCATGGATCGCTATGGGCAGCGGTTTATCCTCCTCCTCCCCGTGCTCAGCCGGAATGGCGTCGTCGTCAGGGACCTGGATCAGGGCAATATCACCCTTGGGTAGGAACAGACCGGTCTTGGGGCATAGCTGCAGTTCCAGCGGCGAGGGCGTGGAGCTTTGATATGTGGGCGTGTTGGTCTTTGTGGCCTTGGTCGAGGCATTAGTCTCCTCGCTGTCCAAAAGTCCGTCAAAGCAGGGCGTCCCTGATGGACAGGCCTGCTGGCCAGATGGCAGCACTACCACATTCTCGATCAGGTGACCATTCACCTGATCCGCATGGTCCGCATCCAGCTGCAGCTCCTCAGCCTCCTCCTCTTCCGGCTCCTCGTCTTCGATCTCGTCCGGCAGCTGGGTGACGCTGTCCTCCCAGTCCTGCAGCAGATTCTGAGCAATGACAGGCAACTGTGGCTGGTGCTCAGGTTCCTGCTCCACCTCGTGTTCGTGCTCCTGTTGGGTCACCAGCTCCAGGTGCTGTGCCTCCTCCAGGTGCTGTGCCTCCTCCTCTTGTTCGTCGTCCCCGTGGCGCTGGTGCTGGTGTTGCTCGCGCTTGACCTTCATCAAGGGTGCGGCGGAGCCGTGGAAGAATTTAACTATCCGCGTGGAGGAAGCATCGGTTCGCGGCATGGAACGCCAGCCATTTGTGGTCTTGGTCAGACGAATGCGGTTCCGCTTGTCGTAGTCCTCGCAGCGCACCTCCACGATGCGGGTGTCGTCCTGCTTGACCCAGAGGAAGATGGGATTGACGCTGGGCGTTGCAACTGCAGAGCCATTACTACTGGGAGAGGGCTTGGAACTGGGATTAGTGGGAGTTTCAGTAGGTATGGGTGTGGTGAGTGGCCGCGGGGCAGTAGCTGCTGGCACCTGCTTCTCCTCCTCTTCCTCCTCCACTGCGCGTGGAGCCTTGGGCTTTGGACTGACTCTCCGGGGCGCCACCACATTGGATGCAGTGACCGTCGTCGCGGCTGTTTTGGTTTCGAGTTTTACGGCAGCCGTACGCGGCACTGGCGGCATTATGGGATTCACAGGAGCGGGACTGGAAGCGGTAATGGGAGCGGGAGTGACAGTTGGTGCGGCAGGAAGAGCAACTGCCGCTGGTGGCTCAGGGGGCGGCAGCTCCGGGCCCGCGCTACACTTTGGTTCCGTCTTGATCTCGCGCAACACACTCTTGCTGATCCGCGGCGTATTGGCCACCTTGAGATGTCCGAACTTTTGCTTGGCCCGCGTGTTCTTGCCGCGCGCTCCTTTGCCGCGTCGCCGCGTCGACTGCTCCTCGAACACCAGAAAGATATCCCGCGCCACTCTCCGCCGCTCCGACTTGCGGTGGCATACCGGCGGTGCCGCTTCCAGTTCCTGCTTGACGATGCCCTCGCCGCCGCCTCCTCCTGCATCACCGCTGCTGCTGTTGTTATTGTTTGCTTCTCCCTCCTCATCCTGATTACCGTTGCCGTTCGCTACGCAACCTCCACTTGTCCTGCAAGTGGCATTCCGGGGCATTTTACGGCCGTTGCGGTCGTCTCCGTTAGTCCGTCGTCGCTGGCACAGAGCTGGTGGTCATTTTCCCCCGCGCACCACTCCTATTGCATCGTCCGGTCGCTCTCCTGCCCCCGCCGCCGCTTTTTCGTTTTTCTCTCCTATTTTCTTTTCGCCTCGCGTTCGCCTTTCCTTTCCCCGTGTATCCGTATTTTTCGCTCGCTCTGGGCCCCCTCTTCTGCCACTTCTGATTGGGAGCAGCGTTCTGATTGGCGGCCACTTGCCTACGCTTGGACTCAATCGGTTAGCATTGCAGCCGTGCACTTGCAGCTCCAGCGTTTCTAATTCAGTTAACTTCACTCTGGCCTTATGGTCGCTGTTTTTGCTTCGCTGCCCTGCTATCCGCTGTGTGTTTTACGTTGACAAAATCAATGAATTTTGTATATATGCACAGCTGGGGATGCCAACTCGCTTGCGGCCCCCAAGTTGGCGAAACTTCGATAAAAGTCTGGCAACACGAAGAGCTCCACACACAAATGTCTGGCAAGGCTACCTCGAGACTTAAAGTCAGAAGCGTTGCCAGACTGTGCATTCCCGTGCGCCCAGTTGGCGAAGAGTTCGAATCTATTTCACTTTTCGTACAGTTTTAGGCGGAAAAAAATAACAGTTTAATAATAACACTCTCATAACAAGTTATTGCGTTTATTTGGCAGCTTAGATTAATTATGCACATCAGCAAAAAGCAAACAATGGTTTTGGCGGACAAAACTTTGGCCAAATATGTACTTAAAGAACCTATGAAACATTGTTGACTATTTCCAAGCCAGATATGCTGTTTTAGACTATATTTATATATATTTATATTCTTATTCCGTTCAAATTACCATCAAATCAAATCTCATAGAGGTTCTTCTCTAAATTTAAATTTGAAAACATATTTATGTAAGAAATTTTAAAAAGGTTTACAATGAATGGTTCTTTTTTTTAAAGTTTAGGCGAAAAATGTTGTATACATTTAGACTGTCATAAGCGCCGTATGAGTAATTTTGGGATGTGACAGTAAAAAAAATTACGTATACGTAGTTGGTATTTAGTTTAATGCTTTTTTTAGTATCTTATAAGGAACGCGACGATATTTTTCTATAACCCGGCTGCGGTCACTCTAGTTCTTATCTTGTTGTTGTTTTGTCGATCGCGGATGTGTGCGAGATCTCGCGGTTCCAATTGGAAATTTTCTAATTTCTTTTGCAACATATATACTTCGATACATACATAAAAACATATATATTCCACTGCACGGCGCACAGTGAGAAAGTGACAAAGCGGTGGCGGCAAGAAAGGAAAAGAAAGCAACTGCATATGCAATTTTCGATTATTTATTGTTGCCCGTTCTTCGTGCGTGCTCTTCTAGTGTGTGCGTGTGTGTTAGTGTGCGTGGGCGCGAGCGAATAAATATTAAAGCGGAATGAACGATCAGCAGCAACACTACTACCACCAGGGCGGCTGGAAGACGTCGGCAGCGGTGGTCAACAGTAATGGAAATTCATTATCAGACAGCCGGGATTACGATACGAACTCGTCGCGCACCTCGCTCTCCGGCTCCCCGCCCGCCGGTGCCGCCTCCTCCTCGTCGTCGTCGGGCGCGTCATCTGCTTCGCTTGGCTTTGAGGGCGGCTTCGTTGGCGGCAGGCCGCTGGCCCAGCTGCTCACACCTAAGTTGGAATCGGATAATGCCATCATCCACGGCGACAACTACAGCCTGTATGGAAACTCCACCAGCGGGGCGGAGCAACAGGTGCTGAATCTGGAGAATCTGGCGACCACCTATAATGCCCTGTTCACGCAGGAAGCAGGATCGCCACCTGCTCACACACATCCACCAATAGTAACGCCTGCGGTGGCGTCGGAGGCGACAGATGACATCTTCATCCTGCCGCCCGCCAATCCGACCCCCCTGCCCATCACAGTCATACCCATCACATACCATCATCACACCGCCAGCAGCGCTGACGAAACCCTCATCAGCACCAGCATTGGCCAGGTGCCTCTAATTGCCACCTTGAGTGAGGCCAGCGTTGGCTCCGGCGCCAGCGACGGCCAGGTGTACAATTTGGATGACATTTGCTTCACACTGGAGTATCAGTTCGAAAACCAGAAGCTTGTCCAGGTGCAGCCGCCAACCGTGGTGTCGCTCAGCATGATGGGCACCAGTGCGGAGGAGGAAGGTCCTCCGGAAACGGGTAACACCGTCTCCGTTTCCGCTACCAACTGTGATAACGGTCAGGCCAACTCGGTGGTCACTTCTCCGGCATATTTCACTATAGAGACGAGGTATTAGCCACTTTGCATGAGGAACGAACGAATCCCTCCTTCTTGTCCTTGCGCTGCATGAGCTTTAATTTATATTTTTGCTTGCAATTTCTGTTCATTACGCCTTTCGATTGATTTTAATTGGGTAATTCTTTGTTTGGATTTCTTGATATTTTTTTTTTTTTTTGTGATTGATTTGATATAATACTTAACAAAAAGCAAAGTTTAAGTCCAGTCAGTTTTTTTTATTTCTTTAAAAACGCATTTCTAATGTTTAATATGCGGAATATAAATGCTTCTCTGGGGCTCTAAATTTCATAATTTGCTTGAAAAGAACATCATATTTTATCCCTAGACTACTATATTTCTGGAACTTTCCTGCTCTTAGTTTTCACCATAAAAGGCTCTTCGCCTTTCTAATTTTATTAATAATAGATACAATGAATCTAATATATGTATATAAAGCGTACATATTTATTGTTTAGATCTCTTCCCAAAAGTTTGCCCCAGGAGATTACACATTATTTTGAAGCAAGCTTTCGTTTTTTAAAAATCGATTTGAAATAGAAATTCATTCAAATATGTGTGTGAGAAATATTCCGATCATAAAAATAAATAGGAAATATGAAATATTTGTATTATAATAACCACGACACATACGCGGCACAGGAATACAGGCCACAATTTAATTGGTCGAGAACAAACTGAGTTATGAGCCTATGAATCTTAAGGAAATATATTTAAGACAAATTTTTCGCCCCATAAAACATTTAATATTCCGCCAGCCGGACCTTCAACTCGATACGAACTAGTATGAAAATCACTTAATTTCATGTTGATTTGCTGCAATCGCAAATAAAAATATAGGAAAATATGTTGAAAGCCAGAATGTGTTGCCCGCTATAATTAGTGCACATTTTTAGTGCCATGTATCGGCTAGAGTTGAGTTTTTGTCGAGCATTTTTTTGGCCAATTATAGTGGGCCGTCAGGTGTGCCCTCCGAGTGGTGGATGCTGACCCCCGCCCAGGGACAGTTCCCCAAAAAATGCCTGCCTGCCCCTTTTGTTGCTAATTTTCCACTCTGCCCACACATAAATACAGAAAAATATATTTCCCTAGCGTCTCTGTCTCTGTCCGTCTGCCGTGACGTGTCCCGCTTGGTTTTATTTTTTGTTTGTTTCAAAAAAGAGAAATCAAATTTTCATATTTTCTTGCCAGCATTTTTGGCAAATCTTCGACCAATTCCAATGTCCACTCATTACAAGGCGGTGTCCGCATCGCTTGCATGTTTGTTGCTAATTGCCTGATTTGTGTTCTCGGCCTGCAGCAGCAGCAGCATCAGCTAGCTGCAGCCTCTCCCCATAATCCCGTGCGGCAATGGTTGCATGATGCCTCCTCTTCGGACGACGACGATGATGATGCTGATGATTGTGTATCGAAATCGTTTGTTTGGTCCAAAAATAGTTGCGCCGATGAACGCATTTAGATCGCTGCCACCTACTCCTCCCGCAGCAACGTCGTCCCGAGTGTATAGAATGGATATATGCATACAATAGATGTATATTTGTAGACTGGTGGGGATTTTTCCCAAAAACTCATTCACACTTGGTGTAAAAGAGCCTAGATTCGGGCGATATATTCCGCTGACTGCCCTATTGTGAAATTCTCCCCCCAAGAATAGTTCGATTTGGCACTTATAGAAAAGTCTGTTCTTCTCTTTCTATATATTTCACGTATGCCCACAAAAGGTTAAAGTTCGACTGGGTGTGTCACCAGGGTTATAACTTATTTAACTGATCATCTAGCTTATACCTACGCTTAGTTTGATGGAAATAATAAATCTGTTCAACGGAAACTGACAAATTGATTGTTTGATAATGGTTTTCATGCCATGTTTTATTGAATTTCAAGAGATATAATACAACATAGCAACTGATTAGAAGTCAAGGGTATATACTAAGGCACTTGAGGCGTTCCATTTCGTCTTATTCGATGTTTTTAAGCAGCTTTATAAGGGGCACTTGGCTTGCTTATCCGTATGTTTAGTGAATTTTGTTCTCATCAAAGTATTGAAACACTTAATTAATTATTGCCACTCAAAAGGTATTAAACCGGACATAAATTAATTTTACCCTCCGTCTCCTAAGTCCAAATGATGTGTTGTGATGGGGTTAGTCCGTCGTCCACTCAGTCTCCCTCTGCTTTGTTTTTTGTGTTCTTTTTGTTTGTGTGGCTCCTGTTGGTTGCTTTTGTTTCATTATTCTGCGGTACAATAATTTTTCAATTTTTCATCCGTGCCTGGTGTGTGTTTTGCTTCGCGCCTTCCTTCCGTCCTCCTCTTTCCGCTGACCATTCGGCGACGACGCCTATTTGCGCTATTTTTATCGCCATGAGTAGTGTTCCCTCAATCATATTTCTCATTTTTCAGCACTCAGAGGGGGGTTGTGATCGGGAAAGGGAGGGTGCAGCCAAGGAAAGGGACTTGGGGGCAGTCCGGGCACGCTGCCCGTCAGTCATCACAGTCACCCAGCCGGCAGCTCCCACGCACTTGCTAGTCGCTGTTGGCTTTTCCTTATAGTTTCTGTTGCCGTCTGCTATATTTTGGTTTTGGCATTTTGTTGTGTGTTTTGACCATGACAACATTAAATATTAATTAATCTGATTAATAATAAGGACCGAAAAAGCCTCCAAAGAGCTTTGTTTTCTCTGTTGTTCGGTATTTCCCCCTTTTGCTTTTCATGTTGATGATGCTCTGCTGTTGATGTTTTTTGAATTGTTTTTCTTGTTTTTTTTTTTTTTGCTGACGCTCTAACACCACCACTAATCGCAATCTCTGTGCAGTTTTGTATAGACATAGTATATACACTTGTTGCGTTTATTATATACACAAAGATCCCACTGACACAGAAATCGGGCGAGGGGAATTAAATGCCCCGCCCGATGCGATATTCGGGTTGTTTTCAACTGTGGATCTTTGGTCTTCGCCCCATTTATACTCACTCGATGCCATCGATCTTCTAGCTATGTGGATGAGTACGATCCGAATGAGCTGGACGAGGACGAGCAGCTGACCCACTGCATTCAGCCGGGCGTTCTCCATCGAGATGTTGACGAGGACGATGAGGATGATGAGGAGGAGGCCGGCAGGCAGGACGAGAACGATCAGTTAATGGCGATGGCCTACGAGGTACACACTATCCATCATCATCCGCTAGCAGCCAAGTTGTCTAATGTGCCTAACGTTGTTGCCTAACGCTTTTTGTAGCGTCTCCTAATCCTAGTGTTTAGTGGAGATTCCGATTCAGACTCCTGCGATTCCGCTGTAGGCGTGTGTTGTAACCCAGTTTTGCTAACCAGCTCTCGCGGTGCGTAGTGGCCCCGCTCTTTCTTTCACCAACGACCTCATTCATGCCCGAATAATCCTGCATGGCATCTCATTCCATTGACTGCAGCCCACGGAGATTCTTTGTTTATGTTTCTAATGGAATTCTATATCTTAGAGTTCGGACGAGGCTCTCAGTCGCTACAGATGCAACTACGAGAACTGTTATCGGAGCTATAGCACAATCGGAAATCTGCGAACGCATTTAAAGACCCATACGGGTAAGTAATAATACCAATGACTTCGTAATAGTTGTAGCTTTAGAAGCTAAAATTTTTGTACAGAACCTATGGGTATTTTTGAAAGAATCAGGCAATCAGGGACAGGGAATTCTTATAGTTAGCTTACTTAAATTATCCCTGCCCTGTTGATCTCTTCGTGAGCTAAGTTAAGCAAGCGGAGTTGAATATCGCAACGCGTTCTTTCGTCTACGCGACTCAAAATACTCTCTAGATATTTGTAAAAGGGATCTTGGGGTTCTATTGGCTTCGATTTCTCCTTCAGAGCTTGCTCAAGCATATTAATTACCTTAGCAAAAGATGACAAGTGCTCCATTGCAGGAGTCTGGTTATTAGCAGGCAGTGGAAGTGGCTGTGTTTGGTCTGTGGATTCATTGTCAATGACCGTCTGTTCCGCAACGAACTCTACACTGGAGGTATCAGCATTATCGCTTAGGTACTCTTGTTCCTGTTGCTGGTTATGTCCTTGGTTTTGTATATGTTCCTGTTCCTGTAATTGTTCCTGGTTTTGTTCCAAGGGAAATTCCGTGATCATTGAGCTTGGAGCTTCATCCTGAGTCATTTCGTCGATATAGTATGTATAGGATGTAGTTTGCTGATCCGACGTACTTGAGGGACATTTCCTATAATATTGAAATATTTACTATATTAATGGCTACAAAATGACTGATTACCAGTATGTGCAAGTTTATGATACCTTTTTAAATGTACGTGTTCCCTGAGAAAGTTGAGCTTCTCAAATAAAGGAAAGCCCTTTGGATTGGGTTTGTTTATTTCCCTGACGTAGCGATCGCGTAAGGCTCTCCACCGAGATTGGCACAGATCCACTGCAAGAGATTTTCAACAAATTATTAAAAACAAACATTTTTCAAGACATAAATTGCAATTACTCGGCACTTTGCATTCTGCAGCCACATCACTCCAGGCCTCGCGTCTACTGATCATGCTGTTAGAACCAAATGATTTGTCGTATAAACGCGGGTGGCGACTAACGCTGTGTATTAACATTGAATCTATATCGTGTGTCATCATAATTATTTTATTATCAATATTTAAAAAACGCTTAAAATTTGCGTCAAACGATGCGTTTGTGCGCAGCGACGGAAGAAAAAAACGCGTTGACTAACAGCTGATTGTGCTTGTGTTTTTCAACACTGTATTTTTTTTCCTAGGGGCGTAGTGAAAGGGGTTAGGGCAAGAAAGCCTCTAAAAGAATACAGTAATTTTCATAGAAAATATAATATTGTAAAAATAAAAATAAATACAGAATTGGATTCATGTATGTTTTTTATTGGCTCTACAAAGTAGTTAATACTTATGGGAAATCCTGCTATTTTGACAACTGGTCTCCTTCTTAAATTCTTTTAGTCTACGCCCAATTGGAAGGCATTGCCAGCTCCACAACCTGTGCTAATGTTTACATTTGTAAGTTAAACTCCGCTTGTTCAATTTCCAGGCGACTACAGCTTCAAATGCCCGGAAGACGGCTGTAACAAGGCCTTCCTCACATCCTACAGCCTAAAGATCCACGTCCGCGTCCACACAAAGGTGAAGCCGTACGAATGCGAAGTGACCGGCTGCGATAAGGCCTTCAACACACGCTACAGGTGAGCAATCAAACCCACTCCAGACAACTGATAGGTTGATAAACAAATGGCTATGCGGAGGGCTGTATTAATCGGTTATCTTCATCGCCCGATCCAACAGATTGCACGCTCACCTGCGCCTCCACAATGGCGAAACATTCAACTGCGAGCTGTGTCAGAAGTGCTTCACCACGTTGAGTGATCTAAAAAAGCATACGCGCACCCATACCCAGGAGCGGCCCTACAAGTGTCCGGAAGACGACTGCGGCAAAGCCTTTACTGCCTCGCATCATCTGAAGACTCACCGGCGGACGCACACCGGGGAGAAGCCGTATCCTTGCCAGGAGGACAGTTGCCAGAAGTCGTTCAGTACATCGCATAGCCTCAAGTCGCACAAGAAGACACACCAGCGCCAGTTGCTTAACAAGGGGCGAAAGAAGCGGCCACTAAAGTCGCAACAGAGCAAACAGCAGAAGGATCACGAACAGGAAAATCACCACGATCAGCAACCTGAGAAGGACGAGCAATCGGAGATGTTGGTGCTAAATCCAGGCAGTCACTGCTCGGAGACAACTAGTACGGACAGTGGAGTGGTGCTGCACACGCTGACGCCGCAGGAACATCAGTTGTCCAATGTATTTGTCCATCACGATGAGCCACTGATCCTACCAGAGACCTCTCAAGCCTACCAGCTCTCGTATGCCGCCGAAGAGGAGATACCTAGTCCCTGGATCGATACTGGGGTCCTGGTCTCCAAGCCCCTCATTTCCATGGCTCCGTTAACTAATGCCTGCGTGGCCCTACCCACCGAGATGCCCAGTTTCGTGGACTTGAAGCCCACCTACGGCAATGCGGTGAGCGGTAACATGGGTGATAACCAAATGGAGACTATGGATGTGGACTCCACGGTGCCACCACCTTCATTGCCTACACCCACTCTGGAGCTAAACCAGGAAAATATCGAGGAGTTGCTCAAGCAGGACAGCTTTGAAAACGAAGAGGACATGGAGACGGAGTCCCTGCTGAACGACATTCTCAATGCCATCGACAACACCGCTCTGCTAGAGGCCACCCTCCAACAGGCCTCCCAGGTGCCCAGCGACGCCTCTGGATTGGTGGAGTTGGACATCAGGGATAACAAGCCTACGCTGAAGCAGATCACAGCAGATGCGGGCATCTGCAATTGCACCAACTGCAAGTGCGATCAGACCAAGAGCTGTCACGGCGGCGATTGTGGTGCATCGGCGGCGGCTGCCTCCCAAAAGTCCACCAAGGCAACCACCACCACTACAACCATCCAAAACTCCAGCGGAGGCAAACGTATTTACGGTGGCAGCGTGGCTACGGCCACAAAAAAAGTGAGTAAACGCCAGGCGGAAATGAACCAGAACATCGAGGATGTTGCTTTACTGCTGCAAAACCTGGCTTCCATGAGCACCGGCAGCTCTCCCGGCGGCGGCGGTTGCTGTGGAGGTGGTGCTGCCGCCAAGCCAGCGCCTTCCACTAGTGGCTGCTGCGGTGGGGCAAAAGCTCCCGAGCCCGTGAAGAGCGGTTGCGGCTGTGCCCAGGCCCCAGCTTCCTCCGCCGGCGGTTGCGGCTGTGCCCAGGCCCCAGCTTCCTCCGCCGGCGGTTGCTGCGGTGGAGGTGGTGCTGTTGCCACGCCTCCTCCGCCCACAGGTGGGTGCTGCAAACCAGCACCACCTCCTCCGCCTGCTGTGTTCTCAGGCGGCTGCTGCTCTGGGCAGGCCAAAGCCCAGGAGCTGCCCGTCATCAGCACGAGTGCTGCTTCGGCAGTACCCGCCGCCGCTGCTGCCGTCAAAGGCAACTCCTGTACCTGCAAGAGTCCGGCTGAAGGCGTCGCCAACGGCTGCTGCGTGGTGATCTGCATTAAAACGCTGCAAGCGCTCCGCAAAGTTCTGACGCGCCGGAATCTGAACCTAATGCTTTGTCCACAGCAGAACTAAACTAAGAACTACTGTATGTACACTAATCCCAAGCAGCCCCGCGCCGAACTGAACCAAATTCCTCCAAAGACCAAGTCCAAAATGTAGGCCAGAATATCCTGTAATCATGTAATCGAAACAATCAATCAAGTATTGTGCCTGTAAAAAGTATTTCCCCCATTAAGAACCAGAAATATATAGCGATCAAAATTGAGTGCATTTAAAAAGTAAAAGGATGCATCATCATCGCAACCGAAATGTGATCCCAGCGGAGGCTGGCCGCGCTACAACATACAAAAAAAAGCTATATCCTACAACTACTATATGCCACGACATATGTACATATATGTACCCCAAAGTAATTAGAACCCAAAGAGCGCTTCCGTTGAGCAGGCAACTGTTGGGTGCCAGACGAAACATCGCCATTATTCCCATATAGACAGATATGCATGCCTTATCAGGGCATATGTATTTACATATAACCAATTCTCACACACAATGTACAACGAGGCAGTTGATAAAGGGCCAGCAGTTCCCTATAATCTTAGAGTCTAACTTCACTGACACATTTTTGCACGTTCCGCTTCTCTAACATTATTTGTACCAAGCCTTTTAAAATATGTAAGAAGAGCCATTGTTTTATATTAAAATACTACAAAAAAATGTATCCTTAAAATCAGTTTAAATATGTGCGAAAGGAGATTTTCTTCGCAGTTACTTTGCTTAACTTGGTAACAACTAAAAGCAAATTGTGCATACATACATGTACATTTCCAGGGGAATCTGTGAAAAAATGTGTCAATGGAAAGCTTTCCCTTTTTTTGTACTTTACATTTTTTAATATTTAACATGTTAAATATACTTGCGTTTATTTTAAACTAACAATTATTATTCATCCAAGCCTTTAGGAAGGTAATGTGTATGAGAGGGGTTCTTCAAATTGTTAAATTGTATAAAATATATAACAGTTTATGATGACGCTTTATAATAATCATGCCAAATATGAACAGATGTACATATTTTCTATATATTTTTTCTTATATAATATCGAAAGAAACGAAATCATTTGTATAAAGGTCGAATAAAACGTAAAACTAAAATGTGTTGGATACGATTCTTATTGCTGCTGCTCTTGCTCCTGCTACTACTTGTTTGCTGTAGATCCTGCTCTTGCTGCTGCTTCCTTTTGCCGCCGCTTTTGCTCCGGAATGTGTCTGGGACTGCTGCAGTTTATTTGAACCCGAATACTAGACTCTTAAATTCTAAATTCTACAGAATGTGCTTTTATTGACACCCCCAAAGAAATTAAAGCCATAGTATGCGCTCCGATCCACTGATCCACACTTGTTTTTTAATCCTCGCCAGCTGGTATGACCTCCTCTAGACGCCGCACGAACTTAACGCGCAGCTCCGTCACATTGTCGCCCTTCAGTTGATCCTGCAAAAGGGACACCCAAAAGCAAACACAAACACGCACGCGCAGAGCACACACAAACCAGACACAATTAGCCAAGACAAAAAAGCCAGAGTGAGAGTAATTCCACAACAAGACTTGCCTGCACGAACCAGCACTGCACCTCCAGCTGTACCATCTCCAGGGCTCCCCGTATGCATCCGCTGAGTATGGCGCTGTAGCGCAGATTTGTCAGGTCCGGCGGCAGCTCGACGAACTCCGTCAACGGATTGCTGTCAAACAACAGCGAGAACTCATCGGAGGCCGCCGACCAGTTCGAGATGGTTGGCTGGATGTTCAGGTAGATGCGGAAGGCCTGCTGGACTCGATCGGCCGTCTCGCGCATCTCAAGGCATCGGGGCGCCGAGGTGCGGGCGAGAAAGTCCTCGATCAGACGCATGCCCATGTTGTAGCCGATCCTCTCCAGCTGCTTGTTCACATCCTCGACGTTCTCGAAGTCGCGCAGCATCTGGGTGACCAGTGCCCCGTAGGTGAGTGTCAGGAACTCCGAGTTCTGTGTTTTTCGGTTGGTTTTTGGTCAAAAGAAAAAGAGAGAAGGGGAAAGCAAAGTAGCTAATAAAAAATCAAATCCAGAACCAGAATCAAAACGTATTATTAAATTGTTTTCTTCCCAGTTAAACAAATCTAGAATAGTTTTTAAAGTTTGTAAACATTTTCTTTAAATTTATTTTGCGGCTTTTTGGGAACTGATTTGGTCTACTAATCGATATTATTTGAGTTGTGACTCGGGCTGTGTTCCCAATTCCATTTTGTATAAAGTTTGGCGATCTAAAAATTTAATAATTGCTTGCTATTTAATAAATTGCACAATTTTTATCTGCACTTCAAGACAATATAGTTCAAAAATTAATTTATACTTTATCAGGGATGTCACAGATTTCGCTATGGTATTAAATTCTATTAAAAATGTGTCAGAAAGTAAGCAATAAAATATTTGCACCATAAATACTAGGACTAGCTTACTTTTAAACACATTTTGTAATGAATATTCAAACCGAATATAATAATAAAGATTTCAAAAGCTTGAAATTGAAAAAAATAACCACTGATGTTACCTAAAAAGAATTCGGATACTAACAACACCCATGGGGAAACGGAATTGGGAACCAAGCTAAATTAATTGAGAATAAATACAATTTTAGTCCGAACGGGGTGGGTGAGGTGGCTACCTTAGGACTATTGAACTATGATCTAATCTTGTATCTACAGCTAAGCCGCGGCGGAGCGGCTGTTACGTTACTCCGACTTGATCGCCGTTATGGTTATGCTAGGTGTTTGGTGTGGCGCTATCAGCTTCGGTGGTGCCCGCGCCGTTCCCCGACTGAGGGTCATGCTACTGGGAGCCATAGGCATGCCGCCGCCGCCATCCGGTCCGGACTGATCGCCTTTTTCTTGCGCCGAATGGAAGCGCCCGCCCTCGCCTCGCGCCCTATTCATTGCGTGCCGATGGCGAGATTCATGCAGATATTTACACCGTTCCTTGGGTATGCGAGACTCCAGTTTAGCCCTAGCCTGCCGCCGGATCAGGATGCGTTTGTACTGCTTGGCATTGACATAGAGAGGCTCCTCGTCCGCCTCGCCCTTGGAGCTCTCATCCTCGCTGTTCGTATTTGTCCCTGTGGTGCTTGTGCTGACATCTGCGGCGCTTACATTATTCGCGGCAGCGCTGGCCGCTGCAGCAGCAGCTACAGCTGCGCTCTGTTGTTGCTGCTGCTGCTGGGTCTGGGATTGAACCTGCTGCTGTTGTTGTTGTTGTTGGGCGACCACCGTACCCACTCCTGCGGCTCCTGCATTGGCCGCTGCTGCATTCACCGCCGCCATTGCCGTCTGCGGCACCATGATGATCTGCTGGCCACCGGCAGTGGCCGCTTGGTTTGCATTTGCCGCCGGCGTTATCTGCACCAGCTGGCCATTAATATTGAGGTAGTGGGGCGTCGGTTGGGCAGCAACGGCGGCAGCAGCTGCGGCGGCCGCTGCATTTGGATCCAGCTGGGCAATAGTGGGCGTCTGGTAGAAAATAGTCTGGCCGTCGGGCAGCTGCATCACCTGCATCTGGGGTTGCTGCTGCGCCGCCGCCTGTAGCATGATCTGATTGGCCTGCAGCGGTATGAGCTGTGGCTGTAGGCCAGTCGCCTGGCCCTGAGGCTGCTGTCCGATTATGATCTGGGCTCCTCCTGTGTTCAGCAGCGGCATAGGTATTACCTGGATTGGTTGGGCGGCGGCAGCGGCGGCATTGGTGGTGCCCGCTGACGTGTTTACATTCAAGGTGTTGCTGCCGGCGTTGTTGCTGGTGTTGCTATTGTTGCCTGCGGCGGTGGCGGAGGAGGCGGCGCTCATTCTAGGCGTGGCTGTTGTGGGACGGGAGCTGGCGGTGAAATGGGTTTCCATAGCCCGCACGCAGCTGGCGGCACTCGCGATTTGTGCGATTGATTCCCGCGTGTGCCCTCACCACACCACTTACTGGAAAAGCGAATGAAGTGAAGCCGATTTTGAGGGTGGGTGGCACGTCAAAGATTCGTTCTTAGGGCTCTAGGCAAAAACTAACCTTACAACTAGGCGGCGGATTCCCTGATGGCGGACCCACTGCACTGCTGCCCCCCGTCTCGCTTAACTCACCACTTTTTTGGCGTCCAATCTGGCGGCTTGTCGCGACATTTTTCGGCTGTTTGCGTTGCGAATTGTCCAATTAAAAATATAGCCAAAGCGAAATCTTTTACGATGTTACAGAGTTGTCAAAAATTCGGCTGATTGCAGTGTGGCCAGCAGTAACTTGCAGATTTCACATAATACCAAAATATGTGTAGATGGTATATTATTCGGTTGTTTAGTAAATTTTCAAATCTTTAAACTTTTTTATTTACTTAAATTAAGAATTTAGGATAAATTGGCTTTTGTCTTTATTATAAGAATTATAAAAGTAAACAAAAATATATTTAGGGAAACTGAAGCAAGTGTCATAAAATATTATTACGCATTCCAACACTGCTTGCTGGTATATTCCTGGAACGGCTGGTTTCTTTTATAAGGTCGGGATCGGTCACACTGGCCAGCATAAACATACAAAAAAGTGCTCCAGGTGACGAAGGTAAATAAAGGAAAAATTAATCGCAAACGAACAGAGGAAACGGACACCAAAACACCACACACAGAGAAACCGCTTCACAATGGCTTCATTCTTCAACGTTGGCGCCCTGGGCAATGTTTTCTCCACGGCCGTTGGCCAGCGCATAGGTGAGTCTGTAGAATGTAGTGTAGAGTAGTATAACCCCTCCGATACCCCCGCCCCCGCTCCCACCGGATGTGGGGGTGTGTGTATATGATTAAATTGTAACATTTTCTATGCACACAACGCATATGCGTGTTTTTTCGGCTAAGTTCCATTAATTTTTCCGATTGGGAGAACCCCTTGAGCCGAGCTGGGCCACTGGAAAATTGAATTTTCACCACTTTCTTCTTGTGTGTTTTCGTCACCTACTGGCGGCTCGTACGCACACCAACACACTCTCAGTGCAGTTATCATCAACCCGATTGGATTTCGAATGGCGAACTCTGATAAGATTAACCCCTATGCTGGCAGGTGTGACAACAGCCCACTCAACCCTACAAGATATTGCCTATTGCTCACCTCAACCACAGATACACACGCACACACTCAAGCATTTCGGGGTATTGTTATTGATGCGCTCTTGTTGTGTGTTTGATTGCTTATTGCCACCCTGCCCCCCCTGCTCCAACGCTCGCATCGCCTGGAAGTAATGGCAATTAGTCATCATCGTTGCCTTAGGTTACATAAAAAAAATGTGTTAATTTATTTCATGTTACCCTTTGCGTCGCATTTTCGCAGTCATTTCCATTTGCCGCCGCTACACACGCACACCGGCGCATTCACCTGCATTGGTGTTGGTGCGCCTTACTAATTTGTTGCTTCATATTTTTGTCCGCTCATATTTTTTTGTTGTTCGCTTTGGGCGACCGTTATTTGATATCCCAGAGATGCATTTTCCTATTCGCTTGTATTTGCTTTTATTGTTTTGTTTTTCGTTTTCAGTATACACTGTTGTTTGCTTGTCTCCTTTTGTACATATGTGCGTTTTAATTAAAGCAAGTCATTGCACTTAGTTGGGCTACAAAATTAAATATGTACAAAGGTATGTAAGGGGGGCAGCGGTAAAGGTTAATAACTCGGCCACCTGCTCGAAAAAATACGCATTTTCAGTTTGTAATCAAAATACAAACAAAACAAACAACATTTACTAATTACCATCAGTTTTTACAACAAGCTAACAAGGTGTTGATTGAAGCGATGATCGATCTAAATAATAAACAATTAAAAAATTTGAATTTCAAAGATTAAATAAGAAAAATATTAAAATATAACTAATAAATGCTTTCAAGAAGTTTATTTAAGTAAACTGATCTATAAAATACTCTAAATCTTGAAAATCAATTTCTAAATATTGAAAGATGTTTAATCATTCAAATCCAAAACATAGTATTTACTTAGATTGTTCCTGTATTTATCCCGCACCTTAACTTATCACCTTTTCATTTTCTTTCCCCCATATTTAGAGGCCGCCACCGATGCCAACCTGGCCTCGGAGAACTGGGCCGCCAACATGGAGATCTGCGACATGATCAACGAATCCTCGGACACCGCCCGTGATGCCATGCGTGCCATTAGGAAGCGTTTGACGCAGAACGCTGGCAAGAACAACCAGGTGGTGATGTACACGCTGACCGTCCTGGAGACATGCGTGAAGAACTGTGGTAAAGCGTTCCACGTTTTGGTGGCCTCAAAGGACTTCATCAACGAGCTGGTCAAGCTAATTGGACCCAAGAACGATCCTCCAGCTGCCATGCAGGAGAAGGTTTTGAGCCTCATCCAGATCTGGGCCGATGCGTTTAAGAACCAGCCGGACCTCAATGGGGTCACGCAAATGTACATGGAACTGAAAAACAAGGGCATAGAGTTTCCGGCCAATGATCTGGATGCCATGGCCCCCATCTATACGCCACAGAGAGTGAGTTAGTTCCCTTAAATGTTATGTCCTTGTTGTAATATCTTACTTACTATTCCATTTAGAGCGTTCCCGAAGTGCATTCACAGCTGGTGGCCGCCCAGCAGCAGCACACAATCTCGCCCCAACACATGGCCGCCGCCGCTGCAGCGGCTGCTGCTGCTGCTGCTCCACCGAACGCTGGACCCTTGCATTTGACTCCTGATCAAGCTGCCAAGCTGCGCTCAGAGCTGGAGATCGTTAGCAACAATATGTCCATTCTGAGTGAAATGTTGAGCGTGCTCAAGCCCGGCCAGGAGTCACCCGATGACTATGCCCTGCTCAATGAGCTGACCTCCACCTGCAAGGAGATGCAGTCTCGCATCGTGGATCTGATCGGACGCGTTCAGGACGACGAGCTGACTGCCGAGTTCCTGCGCATCAATGACGAGCTGAACAATCTCTTTTTGCGCCACCAGCGTTACGAGAAGAATCGCTCACAGGGTCTGGGAACCACTGTCACCTCGCCATCGCAAGTGCTGGGCGCTGCAATGGGTGTGGTCCCACCGCCTGCGACCACAACGACTGCCGTGAGCAATACGCCGCAAAGTGACCAGCTGCTAATTGATTTGATCGAGAGCAGCGAGGAGGCGCAACAGCTCCCACAGGGAATGGGCCAGCTCAGTCTGGGCGGAGGAGCAGCCGCAGCGGCACCACAGAGAGGAGGTGCTGCCGATGAGTTCGATATGCTGGCACAGTCGCGAACGGATGGCAACCAGTGCGTACATTAACCAAGCCCTAAACCAAATCAAAACCTTCTCAATTTAAATATTTTCATTCAGTAAATCTGATATGCTGCGGGATATACCCTCCGTGGACGCTGCCGCAGGTAGTGTTCCGGCCTCCGCCGCCGCTGCCATCGCCTCGCCTTACAAACAGCACCAACAGTCACAGCAGCAGGCACATCGCGGAACCGGCGATCCGCCGGTGGTAAGTAAAGTGAGTAGCTAGCCGCCAGACAGCCGGTCTAACTAATGGCGTTCGAATCTGTTTCGTTCCGTTCCCTTACTGTTTGACCTTGTTTTCGGCCATTGATTTAACCATTTTGAATTTAAATTGAATATCGTTTTGGCTTTTCTTTTATTTTTGTTCTATGCAAATTGCGTTTTGGGTTTCGTTCGTTTCGTTTTTGGCTTTGGTTCGATTTGGTTTCTTCTGTGGCGCCCACACAGTCGACGAAAGAGAATGAGATTGACGAGATGGAGGCGTGGTTGGGCAACTCAGTAAGTAGCCATGCGAGTAGCACACTCCCTTTGCTTTTTTTAAAGCGCATCTAACCATTGCACACTCAAAGTCAGCTTTAGTTAATCGATTTACATACTCTTCCTTTGCTTTTGATAACTACTATTTGATATTAATGTATGGCAACTGACTGAAGCTTTTTTCCGCCACACAGCACAACATCGATGGCATTGAGGAGCTCACCAGCTCGGAGTTTGACAAATTCCTTGAGGAGCGTGCTGCCGCTGCTGAAAATCTTCCAACTATCCATGCATCGAACTCCGCCAGTAGTGCCGCGACAGGTGCAGGGGGAGCTAGCGAAAGCTTACGAAAAACACCAAAGAAACCGGCCGCCGAGGAGGACCTGCTTGCCCTCTGAGTGATCTCCACCAACTATAGCTCCTCCGGCAATATCAGCTCCAATTGTTTACTCTTTCAAAATGTTACACACACCCCAAAAATACTTATGCATAACGACGTCTATATGATAGCGGCTACATATTAACCCTTTTTTTATGTAAAACGCTTTTAATTTTTACATAACTGCAACGATAACTATTGATTCTATCTATATATTCCAAAACGAAACAAAACAAAAAAGCGATCTTTTGTTGGTCTAATTGTAAGCCACATCTCGACACATATTGATGGTAATTTTTAATGTATTTACGTTACATACGTCTATTTGTTGTTTATTTATACATATACATATACATACATTATAAATCTAATTTATTTTACAAAATCAAACGATCGAAGAGAGAAAACTAAAACTAAAAAAATATATAAAACAAAATGGAAATACATTTGAAGCACATACCGAAGAGGGAATGTTTTACTACGAGTCTTCGTCTTCCACGTTCATAGCCTGTGTGGCCGCTCCATACGCTTCATCTTCCTCCTCATCAGTGGAGATCTTGGGGCTCTTGGGGGACTTTTTTGAGCGCTCCTCCTCTAGCTGGTTCTCCAAATCTCTGATGTGCGCCTTCTTGCTGTTTATTAGCACAAGGAACTTCTTGAGGAGTTCCGCTTCCTTCAGCTTGGAATCCTTTACATACTGCTCATACTCAGCCAGCGATGTGGTTTCCTGGATCTGGGATTCAGCGGTTACTGGAGCAGGAGCAGGTGGCTTTTGCTGGCCCGCTTCGATGGCTGCATCCAGCAACTGGTAGCAGTTTGACACCGTTCGCAAGGTAATCTCAAAGTATAACGTTTCGTAGCCCATGCACTTGTACATCTTAAAGACAGGTTGCTCGGGTTTATCCAGACACAGTTCGTAGTCGAATCCCTGCTGTCCCATGTGTGTGGTCATCGCCCCCTTGCACTCTTCGAAGAAGGTTTCAAAGGGCTGGTCCAGTTCACTGCTTGCACTCCGCAGCTCCTCGTATTTAAGGCTGCCGCGGTAGCTCCTATTGTCCACTGTGGAAAGGAAGTCGAACTCCGCCTCGTTTTCCAGCCAGTGGCTTCGAACGTATATGAAGGGCTTGACGTCTAACTGGCTGTGCGAAAGATGGGTGCGTTGGATAAGCTTAACCACATGGGTGGACATATTTGTATATTAATTATTTTATATTTAAGTAAATAAAGTTTCACAACAATTTGTAAATAAATATAGCGGCTGATTGTTGTCAGTGTTGCTAAATAGCCGTTATATTAATATACTGCAGGTAACCCTATTTCTTATTCTTTTACCCAACACTGCTCACTTTTAAAAATATTTAAACCAGCACTTTTCTTATGCCATAATTTTTACTAAATTATAAATTACTTCGCTTTTAATTATTCATATTTGTTGTAATTGCAATCTATAGTTTTTTACTTAAACTTATATAAATATTTTATTGGACAGGTAGCCCTGCTACACAATAGTATTACCAAGCTCTGGTCACACTAAGTCAACATTAAGTTAGCACAAACCTAAGTGGGATTAATTACAAATTAAACGCGCTCCGCCCCGGCCCCTATTTGTTTCCCTATTTTACTGTTTTAAGCAGTTCGTTAGCAGCAATGCTCGACAACCTCGTGGAAATCGCCAGCTACTGGTGGTTCCGATACCTCATGGTACGTAATAAAATCTATAAAAACCAGCGTATGGCCTAGAAGCTCAGCTCGTAGAGTTAATTAATAAATTAAACTTCCTCAGGTCACCGAGCTGTACATGGTGGAGAAGTGGGAGCGCGTAACAATACGTAAGTGCTGTTCCCTTGATCCAAAGGCAACACCTGGGCTTTTCCTGGATTCGTCATACCATTTTGCGCGAATTTTCACGCTTATCTCGATTATTATTATTATTGCTCTCGTCTTTCGCAGACGTCATTTTCATGGTGCTGTTTTGCGTGTTCTGGTACTTCAACTACTCCGTCCTGCTCTCCCTGGCCGGTCTGATCTCCCCCAGTGCGACCATGGTGGACATTATGCCCGAGATGTCTGTGGCTTCGGGTCTCAAGGTCACCTAAGCGCTGTGGTCGCCAGTATCCAAAAAAAATATCCGAGCACTGGCACGCCGCCTCTCGGCAAAGCTTTATCTAATCCACATCCGCACGCGTTTACACAAGCAATCAATGAATGGTCTGGGAGGTGGAGGTGGCACCTGGTACTGGCAACGAACAACACATGTTCAAAGACGATCGATCTAATCGTCGAATGATCCGAATCTGAAGTGGACAACAGCCGGGAACTGTCCACCACTAGCTAGCGACGCCCTGCCGCACTGTTTAACGTAGTTATCTCTAGCCGTAGTTACAAGTTAATGTCCGTAAATAAATCTAACTCTTACACAAGTCACGTAAATAGGGCCAAAATAAGTCACTTGAGAGGGAGTCCCCAAAACAGAACAAGCCGAGATTTCCATTAGACAGGCAAATAGTTGCATTGTTTTTCCTTGTTTTATTTTCGTTTAATTTTGAAGAGGTATTCCCTTGTTTAATTCCGACATAACTGAAGTGCTTCCTTCCATTTGTGAATTGTTTGCTCATGTTTCTTCTATGGTAAATCCGTACTTAAACTCTGTACTTCAATGCTCTCTAAGTGTTACAATTCATTACAAAAATATATATATAGATAGCCTATGGTGTGTGTTACTGAATATTGTTAGAATCTAGTTTCTTATTTGTTGTTTGTTGCTTTCTCGTAGAAAAGAGCGTGCGCGCGTTTTGTTATTCGAGCGAAGACCGCACACGGTTCAGATTGGATTGTGGTTATTGGTTATTATTGTTTTTATGGGGCAGTCTGGCTGGGTTCTTCGGGTACGCTGATTGATTCGGGATTAAAATGGGGGGGGGGGTGAGGTTTACTTAAGCCTACACTACATACTAAGGTGTTTATCCTTTCGTTGACCACTATCCATCCACGAAGGAAACATATATTATGATGGCTATAATCTAGGTTCCGTTGCACTGCAAGCCGATTTGTTAGAGAAGAGGAGCTTAGTACTAGTTACTTAAGAGGGTGGCGGCGACAGGCGGCGGATGTCTTCACCAGGTGAGAAATGCGCGCGCGCTGCAGATCATCCGCTCGATAGGTTTACAGATAGAGATAAAAACTGGCTACAACTAACTGTACAATTTCTCGCAATCAGCTTTAAAACTCGCTGCATCTCAGTGTCCTCTCAGGCCAGGACCAGGGCCAGAAAGACATTGATGCGCACTGCTAGTTAGGATGTGGGTGACGCCTCGTCCAGAAGCATCACCCCGTTCTGATCGACGTATACCAGGCGAGGATCCTCTCCAAATTCTAGGCGACCATACCTGGCCACCAGGGGTGCCTTATTGTTGCTGTTGTTATTGTTGTTGTTGCTGACCTGTGGCGTCCTCGGCCACTTCCGTTTCGGCTTCGTGTGCGTCAGCATGTGCGACTTAAGGTTCGTCGACTGGGCAAAGCATTTGGAGCAGCCGTCAATGGGACAGTGGTAGGGCCGATCACCGGTGTGTATCCGAACGTGGGTGCGCAGATTGAAGTCCAGGGAGAACCGCTTGCCACAGCCCTCGAAAGTGCACTCGAAGGGCTTCTCGCCAGTGTGCACCAGCTGGTGGCGCTTCAGCTTCGAGCTCTCCACGAAGCTTTTGCCGCACACGTTGCACACATGGCCGCGAGGGCCGTGCGTATGCATGTGCTTGCGCATGGCCGAATGGTTGCGGAACTCTTTGTTGCATCCCCGATGCGAGCAACGGAACTTGGGCTCCTCATCCTCCTCGCCGGCGGCACCGGCTGCTCCCGCAGTTGTCTGGTTTGCTGTCCCCGTTACTCCTTGTGCTGCTGGTGTTTTGGTCACATTAGTAGGTCTCGGCCGGGTTAGAATGCTGGCCGCTACAAGGGGAGGCGGTGGCGTTGGCGTAGCCACCGGCAACGCTGTACTGAGTTGCCTCTTGGTCACCTTTGACTGACTGCCGGCGCTTTTCAGTCGGACATTGGTGCTGCTGTTCTGGAGCACCAATTTTGGTAGAGATGCCTGGGGAGTCGCCACACATCCATTGATTTTGGTCACGCCGGAAGCAGACAGGTGGCCCGAAGCCGCTGCTGGACCTGACGGTGTCTGCATTAACTCCACGTTGTTCGGCATATTCTCGATGAGCTCAATGTTGCCGTACACCTCGTCCAGATCGTTGTCCGCATAAATGAACTGCTCGCTTAGAGGCTGGCTGTCCTCCTCGCCCTTGACATCGTCCATAAATGCATTGACCACCTCTTCAACGTCTGTTACCGAAGAGGTGCTAAAGGGATCAGGCAGGATGACGTACTCGTTACCAATCCCGTCGCTCAGCACATCGTGGTTGATCATATGTTCATCGATGATCAGCTTTGGCATGCCGGGGGAACCGTTTTCGTCGTTCCGCGCGACGTTGGATGCAGATGCAGAGGTTGTTCGTGTACCCACAGTGGAACCGGGGGGCTCATCCAGTTCCTCCTCCTCGTCTTCGTCTTCAGAGTTTAAAGAGGACCACAATGTGACATTAAACTCGTCCTGGGTAATCCGTATGGGAACTTTTGTTTGCTTCCATCGCTTAGTGGCCGAATTGACGCCCATTTGCCGCGATTCCACGCGACTGGTGCCGAACAGCTTAAAGTCCTGTAGCTGGTTATTAGAGCTATTCGAATCCTCGCCGGCCTTCATGTAGAACTCGTTCTCCAGCTGTTCCTCCTTGATGTTCGTTGCCTCGATGGTGGTTAGCATCTCGGATGCGATCTCAAACGCATTCGTCATCGCTGGCACGGCATCAGTATCGGGCTCCTCATCCTCTATATCGCCTTCGCCGTCACAGGAGGAGGACATCTGCATGCCGTCCTCCTCAATAAATTCTTCGTCGTCGCTTGTCTGCTGCATAATGATGGGCGGTGGCAGTGCATCCGCCGTGGCCACCGAGGTGAGCCTGTCCAGCCGATCCACCGGGTAGTACTCGTAGACATCACCAGCGATAAAGAACTCACCGGTGTCTACCACAATGTTCGCCTCGTCGTCATAATCATCGATTATCTCCTCGATCAAGAAGCTCTCGTTCTCCGCACCCATGTGATCGGATCCCTCTAAGACACTAGTGTACGGGTCCTGCTCCGTCCCAATGGTGGGCGCCGTTGGTGGCGGCAGCACATGCGTGAAATAAGCGGAGGCAGAGCCCAAATGCAATGGCTCGGCGGCTGCAGCCAGCGAGAGGTTCTTAACAACCGGGGCGCGTAGCTGGTGCTGATGCTGATGGTGCTGGTGGTGTTGCAGCTGCGGCTGGAAGCTGCCGACGCCGTGGTGATGACTTGTCATCGCGGTTATGGATTCTGGCTGTTGCTGCTCTGCGCGTTCCCTTCTATCCGCCTGTCTGTGTGTGTTTTTTCCTTGTGCGTATGTGTGCGGCGCGCTGCTTGGTGTATGCGCGTGTCTGTGTGAGTGTACGAGTGGTAGCCACCGCTGGGAATAGCGAAATAGTATCGAAATTAGTACCTGGCTGCGTCCGGGCTGTCCGGCGGAGACTCACCCGCGCAACTGCGTGCTCGCTTTTGGCCTTTCCTGTCCTGTCCCACCTTCGCTAACAACTCACAGCTTGCTTGCCTCTTCTCCTCCGCCTATCGCTTATTGTGCTGCTTTGTGGCGGCAGACGGCGACTGGCTGATGCGCTCCGTTCGCTCCGCCCCGCCACGCTGCTGGCCCGGCACCTGATTGATGCACTTTACGGTGGACGCCACTCTGGTGACCACCGGCAGTGTAAATATTTTGAATTTTGCCGGTAAATATGGCGGAATTGTATTTTTTCAAAATGGCTCGGTACTTTCTCTTGCGTATTTGTGTACTTGTGTATGTTAATGTTGGTGTGTGACGACGGCGCCAGATGCAACCCTGTGCGCGCTTTGTGTATATGTTCGGCGGGCGCGAATTGTTTGAGTGGCTCTAAGCCGCTGTTAACCCTCGGTAAAAGGTCCAGTTGCCTCACAAATTAGCTTTATTAAAAATATTGCTAAACCAGTTGTACTGCAATTGCGTAAATGACACTCTTTTCTGCTTTTAATTAGCGGCGTTCTGACTATCGATAAGCGATAGACTTGTTGTTCTGCCGCCAGGGTTGCCTTGACAGCCCGCTTATACGCGTACACACATACATATGTCCATATGTATGTATGCGCAATAACAAAGAATGAATTTTTAACAATTATTTGTTTTTCATCTTCACGATATTTACATTATTTGTTTAAGAATTGAAATATTTCCCAGTTAGAGCTTCTTCATCAACAGCACTTCGGGCAAATAGACACGGGCCAACTTGGACTCCACGAAGCTCTCGTGCCGACAACCCAATGTCATTGCGGATTGCCTAAAATCAGTCTTATTAAAGAGGACACTCTTTCGATCCGGTGCTAGGGCAATATTATAATGCCGGCACTGCTCCTGGAGTCCCGCCGGCGAATCGATTAGCAGCAAACGCAACAAGTACGGAGCCGGCACCGTGAGCTGTTTGTTGTTGTAGGCATGCGTGAAAATTTGCAGCAAACTCCTGAAAAAAAATACGGTGGATTGGATCAAAATCAATATAAAACAATAGAAAGGGAAAGAAGCAGCACTAGGTGGTACCTCCTTATTGCCTGCAACTTGGTGGAGGCCACGGCACACAGAATGTGCGGCAGCTGGGGCAAGCCCATGACCACCCTGTAGAGATTCCCTTGTTGATAGGACAAGCACATTTCGAAACAAAGGCGAAAGGTGGCGTCCTGTCGCACGTGTTCCGGCAAGGTCAGAGCCCGTATAAACGACTGCGGGGAACCCAGATTGAACATTTGGTACAGGCCTTCGATGAAGCAGCGCCGTTCCAGTTCCCGCAGCGTTGGTTTTTCAGTGGTCGTCGACGATTGCCTATCTAGATCCTCGTAGCAGCAGAGCACACCGGTAAGGCATTCCTGCAGGTGCTGGTTACATATCTTTGGGTCGAACTTATCTATGGGCTCGATGCTTAGCTTATAGAGGCTAAAAGCCAGGAACATGACAATGGGCTCCAGCAGCCGAATTGTCCGGCGGGCATCAAACATTTGGATTACAATCTCCCGGCGCACAGCTCGGAGGCGGTCGAAGATAAAGTCGTAGACCACATTGTAAGGCTTCCGATTATCCAGGATTATACTGCAGAGAAATAAGCGGTGCAAGTGAAAGCTGGAACTGGGGTTCTACCTCAAGAATGCTTACTCCTTGAGCAGATACTCCACTGTTTTGATCAGCGATTGCTCCGTACGCATGTCCTTCGCTTGGGGCATCTTTGCGTCGGCGGCGGAACGCGTGAACTCTTTGACCAGGATACCGGGAGTATTCTTCTGCCCATTCTTCAGCTCGAAATAGTGCAAGAGCTTCTCGCGAATACGCCTGAATGGATTAAGGAATTTTACATAATTCTTTAAAATGTTATTCAACGATGGTGCTTACATTTTCGACTCTCCATCGGGACAGAAACTTTGACAGGAGCCTCTAACTTGAGCCATTTGTTGATAAATATCTAAAGATTTGAGCCGCGCAAACAAACCAGGGCTGCAGAAATCCGTAAATTCAATGGCAGAATGGATATTCCTTCCTGGAGATTAGAATCTATTAATTTAATGGTGAGAAACTATACAAATTAAGTTATTCTCTAAATTTTAATAAATAAAAAAGGCCTGTTCCTTTTTCAGCATTGTTTATGTAAATATTTGTAGTAACCCCCTTTGCTACGACAATGGAAAACACGACTCAGCTGACTAAGCTAGGGTTGTCAAATAGCCCAAAAAATTCAAATTCATTCTTTCTTGTTTCGGACTTTCTCATTCCTTAGAGCTTACCGAAGATGTTTTCGCGGTATTTTAAACCATTCTTCAGAAGTCATCGTCAGAGCTGGCGAGTTTTCAGCTTCCACGTCCGGAGATTCATTGCTGAATCTAGTTTCAGCGACAGGTGTTCCCTCACAGCGGTGGCTACCCTGCTGCCGCTGGTCATCATCCGCTCTGCTTACTGCAAGAAAGATGTCCAGGAGCCGAAGAGGCCGTGCCGCAAGCGAACGATGAGCAAGGTCATGTATGAAACGAGCCTGCAGGGCAAGGCACAGCGCTATCTCAACGCCTTGAAGGAGAGTTGGGACCAGTTGCATCGGACTCCCGGCATGTTTGCATATCAGCTAAAAAAGACGCCACACAGACGAAAGATACCAGGCTCCCATGGCTTCTACACTGAGGTGAATTGGTTATACTCTTGCATTTTCAGCTGCTTCAATCATTCTCGATCTTCCAGCTCAATGCAGATCGGTCTTTAAAACGCCGCGGCCCACAGACCATCGAGAGTTTAAACCCTGCCTTTAAACCCACGAATTTTAACTTCAACAAAATCAATGCTGCGGAGGTGCTTATGACCATCAACGACTGCCACGGCAGTCCGGAAGTTCAGATGATCATTAACAAGAGCCCGCTTACCCAGTACCACACTCTGATCTGTCCCGAAGTGAACAAGAACCATGTTCAGCGTATAACTCGTGATGTCCTGGCCTTCTGCATCACTTTCATGCGCAGCATAGATGACAAGAACATACGCATGGGCTACAACAGTCCAGGAGCCTTGGCTTCTGTCAATCACCTCCACTTCCATCTACTGCTATTCGCCCAGGATCTGTATATTGATAAAGTCCCATTGGAAAAGCTAGCCGGAGATTCTATTTATCGCTTGAGCCGGCGAGCGCCCACAGAAGCGATATGTGTGGTATTCCAAGGAAAGGACACCGAAGATGACGTGGCAGAGAAGGTTGATCAGATTTATAAGCTGGCCATGTGGATGTGCAAAAACAATATGCCACATAATTTGTTCATCACACAGGATAGAAGTTCGAAAGGGTACGGAGACGTGAAGGTCTTCATTTTCGCTCGTTCCAAATACTGCGTAAGCAAGGATTTGGCAGAATTCAACGTGGGATTTTGCGAGTTGGCTGGATTCATTCCGCTTCCAGGTGAGAAATGTACTTTTTTATAAACATATTTCATGTTCTTAACAATTTTTGGATAGTTGCGGATAAAATGGAAAACCTTACGGAGCAACAGGTGCTTCAAAGGATCCGCTGTGTCACTGGTTCAGCTCCAAAGGCTATGTATGAGGAAATGACGAATATTGTCGAAGGAAGGACAAAGGAATACCCCTGGGAACAGATTTTGGCAATATAAAACCTAGTAAAAAATAAACATCGAGAGGCTTTCGTTTAGGAACTTAATTTACTTCTTGATTATGGTATCACATAGCCGCAGCGAATCCCTTGCCCATGGTGGCTTTACTGATGACTTTGGTGTTGGCGGCAATGCTGTAATCCACTTGGGCGTCACCATTCTGCTTCCTCACCAGTTCCGTCAGTTCTGGCAGCTTGTCCTTGGCCATACTTTCGCGTATTGCCTCAAAGAAGGATATGTAGTGATGCAGGTTGTGACTGGAAAGGAAAGTAAAATCAATAGAAGTTAGCTTTGTAGCTTCTCAACTTACATCATCAGTAAAATGGGACCGAGAAGCTCGTTAGTCTTGTACAGGTGATGCAGGTAGGAACGCGTGTGCTTCAAGCAGGTCAGGCAGCTGCAGTTCCTCAGTAGCGGCGAGAAATTCTCCTTGTTGGCGTCGTCAGTGACATCCAAGAAGGCCACGTGCGTCTTGCTGTCCTGCACAAAGCTGAATGTTAAGGCTTTAAAGTTGAGAGAGGCACAATAGGCATAGGAGGTGTCAAATATATCCATCCCCTGCTCGATGAGCTCCAGTGTGGTTAAGGGGGTAAAGGCGCCGGGAACCATTCGCGGCTTGTCCTCCTCCAGTTGCCTTACACAGTGTTCCACAATGGGAAGCAGTTTGGAAGTGTCTAGGGTCGTTGCTGTCAAGCCATTCGTGTGGAATCCCTCCAAGATATAGCCCCCGTAGCTATCCGCCGGTTGTTCCCTTGCATGCTTGATCGACTGCGTCCGGGCGAAGGTGTTGTAGCCGCCAACGATGGGAGCAAGCAAAGAGGACTGCACCTTTCCGCGTTGCTCGTAGATGTAATGCATGAACTTCTCCGTTCTGTCCACCGATTTTTGCACTCTTTTCTTGGCACTCTCCGCATTGGTGTCGGCATCACAGAGTCCTTGGTAGATGTCTGGCTTGATGCTGGCCACCATTTCCATGTAGCGCTCTGGGGTCAGGGACTCCCTTCCCCTGCGCGTGAACAACGGCAGTATGTCCCGATCATTGCCACCCGAAGGCGTCGTTTCACAGGGATCTCGCAGGAGGAGGACATTAAGGTTGCCAGGGAAACCTACATAATCGCTAACTCCCCGGTCTCCGCTGTTCCACTGGGCCAGGGCCTCGGCCATTTGATCCATTGTGGACAGAGTGAACTGTAGCACTTGTGGCCTCTGACTAACATGGCTCTCGAACACATCAGCACTGAGCCATGGAATGCTGCCGCCTTTGGTGGTCTGCATTAGGAGCGGCGTCCTCAGCTCGGGGCCACCGTCTCTAATACGGAGTTGTCCCAGGCGGCCGGAATTCTTAGTGATTCTTTCAATCGCGAATTTCATACCGGGTTTTTATTTATTTATCTTTATGAATGAACAAGAAATCGCGCACGTTTCAAGCAGTGAGTTCCGATAACGATAACACAGTCGGGGCTGTCAGTATAGCTATTTAGCATTTTAAAATGCTTCAATCTATCCATTTTTAACCTTTGGCTGTAATTTAAATTATTTTTTAAACAATAAATAAGGGCGAACTTTCTTAGAAGACTTAAAGTTTGTATTAGTAAGTTTAAAAATTCATTTCGAACAATCTATTCTTTGCAGCCAATGCAGAAAATCAGTCTGGCAACTCAGACCAATTGGCGCCCCTATTCTCTTCCCGTTTTAACTTTTTTTGTTGTTGTTGTTATGTTGCCCTGTTTTACTGCTCAGTTGTTTTCAACTTTTCGGCCTGTTCACTTTTCGTTCGGAGGCTTTTGGGGGCTTGTTTGTGGCTCTCCACGGGCGACGATTTTATGTTGTATGCGCAGCGCACTTGATGGAAATTGTTGTCATTGTTTCGGTTGCGTTGCCTCACTGTTTAAGTTTCGAACGCCGGTCTCGCTCGCACTTGTTGGGGGCAAGCTTTTGCGGACTTGTTCCGCAGCGGTAATAAATTCATATGAATATTGTTGTGTGTGTGTTCCGTTCTGTTCGCGTCGTTCATTGATTTCCTAATTAAGTTTATAATTAAAATGAATTGAAAAATTACTCACATGCCAGTGTGTGTGAGTGTGTGCATGTAGAGACATGTAAATTGGCTGCCCGCGCGTGAAAGCCTATTAAATAAGTTATGTTATGTACTTACCCCGTATGTACATGCATATGTATAATAAATAAATTGCTTTGAATTCGAAAGCGAAATTGTGCCAAAACATTAGCGCAACAGAATCAGCAAAAGATGTAATTAGAATAACAATAATTCAGAGATGGCGTTTTTAAATTGATGACTTCCTTGCCGTCGTACATTTGTATGTACCTATGTACATATTTATAATTAAAAGCAATTATATTTATTCTGCGCACAAACGACTATAAAAAAATTCTTCGACGAGAAAATTCAAGTGAGATAAAATCGTAAAATACCTCTGGAAATTTGAAAATTTCCTGCCCTCCAGGATTGCCAACTACCCGAACAGCTGTGGCCTTGAGACCCGAAGATCGGTGCCTTTGCTCCGCTGCTACCTGTTCCCAATGTTTTACCGCCCGAAAGAGTCGTAAATGTGAAGCTGTAAAATTACGCACGGCCATAAAATCGTACATTTATGTTCATTCCAGGTGGTCCTGCCGAAAACGCAACAGAGTGGCAACTCTAGGCAAATGAACTGTTTTACCTGCACTAGGCGCGGGACGAAGAGAAACGGGGCACAACGGATAATTTAGTGGAATTTTCAAAAATAGCAAAGCCAGCAACGGCGGCGGCAGCCATAATCCCCCAGCGAGCACAATAATCAAAGATTAAATCAGGTTTATATGGAAAGGGTTATAGCATGGCACAGGAAGAAATACACGTTTCCTAGCGCAACAGCAACAACTACAATACCAACAACACCTACAACTGATTACACTCGCACACTCACAGACCCGAGAGAGCACAAAAGAGAGAGAGAGATACTAAGTTTATGCGTTGAAATTAACGAATTCTGAAGTAGGTGAATTTATAAACCTTAAAGCAAATTTAAGATGCTAGTGTCGCCATTTAATAAAATGCTGATTTTCTAAGGAACTGCTGTTGCTTAAATTCATGACATTACGTCTATGAACTTATTTAAAACGACAAAGTTTCAAGAAATTGCATGAATAACGCACTGCATAAACGCGGAGAGAGAAGGAAGAGAGAACGAGAGCGGGAGAGCAACTTACGACAAGACTAGACGTTCATGTTTTTCGCTCATTTTTCTTTCGTGTGTGTAACGGCAATGTCGTGTTTCGGAGCGGCGGCGAAAACACTCTGCAGCAGTAACAACAACAACAACGATAAGATTTTCCGTTTTTCCGTATGGAAGCAGCAGCAGTAGCGGCATTTGTTTTGAAAGTAAAGCAAAGGCGAGCAAGAAAAACGAAATATAAAGCAGAGGAAGACGGGAAAAAGCAACGCCGCTGCCGACCGCGCCTCGGTTTGTCCGTGTGTTAGTGCCTGTCTGTCGTCGGTCTTATTACTGTCTGTGTGTAAGTGGGCGCGAACGTAAAGCCGAAAAGGAAGTGAAAATAGTGCAAAAAGGCCAAGTAATAATAATAATAATAAAATAGGCAAAACGAAGAGGCAAGACCCAGACCAGTTTCGAAAAAGCGCCTATTTCCAGGGCCCGCTTATGTGCATTAGTATTGGTTTGTGTGCGTGAGTCTCGCTCTATGTGTATTAGTGCGACCACATACGGGGAAAAGGCCTTTTCAAAGGAGCGAAAGGGAGCGAGAAAGGCAGTGCGCGAGCGAGCAATAAGAATAATAAATTACACTTTGCTATAATAAGAAAAATTTATACATACACACACACAAATGTACGGCGGGAGAGGCCCACACACACATGTGCTCCCAGTGTGTGGAAAATTGTAATAAAATATGAACCGCAAAAGCAGCAACGGCAGCACCAGCAGCAGAAAAACGAGAAAAACTAACTAAAAAATAAAATAAAAGCGAGAAGAAGAGAGAAGTGAAAGAAAATATATACAAACATATATATTTCGAAATCGCATGTGCCATTTTGTAAGCTTTAAAAACCACAGTATTAAACAACCGAAATCTGAAAAATGTCCTGCATATCGAGCAACTTTAGCTCCTTTTTCCTCAATTCGCTCAACGATCCTTCAGAGTTTTCCAAGTATTTGAGCAATGGCGAGCTCAAATGCTCGAATTTCGAGGAATTTCAAGTGTTTGGCTGCGCAGGCGCAACGTCGCAGCAGCAGCACCACCAGCAGCAGCAACAATTGCAGCAGCTACAACAACAACAACAACAGTATTCCACTCACTCACACTTAACCAATGGCGGCAGCGTAACGGACTTTTATGAAGCAGCAGCAGCGACTCAGGCAACAGCAGCAGCGGCAGCGTCAACGTCGCAGCGGGAAACCTGCACTGGCAGCGCTGTATCCAGCTCAGGTAGCACCGTTATAGCCGATGCCAGCATTGCAGCGGCGCCGACGTCGGCAACAGCGCCCACAGGATCTTCTGTTTCTACAGGCGGTGCAGGAGGTGCCGGAGGATCGATAACAGGAACCCCCCTGCTCCCCAGCAATCGATGGCCCACGGCGGTGGCCACGCCCAACGGTCATGCCTCCGGAGCAGCAGCCGTTGGTACAACTGCGGCAGCTTCGGTGCCACAGCATTTTGATGGATCCTTTGAGTTTATTAAATACCTACGCCACTCCACGGACTTCACGCCCAGCCCCGGCCCCAGTTCGGTTAGCGAGGGTGCCGCCGGTGGCCCGGAGAAGGGCAAATCGCTGCTGGCCGGTAGCACTCCGCCACCGCCCGCCCAGTCACCGGTGGCCGGCGGACTGATCGACCTGGACACGAGTACCTCGCAGAAATCGAGATCCGCTTCCCGCAAGGTGGCCGCCTTGCTGTCTTCCGTTTCGCGGGCTTCCAACACTCTGGTGGACACCAGCACCTCGGCCTTGGACGTCTTCGATCACGACTCGAAACAGACCATTTTTGATCTGCAGCACATGGCGTCGAATGGATCCTCAAACTCGAACGAGTCCTCCCTGGAGATGCTCGCGTTTCCCAACTCGCACCTGAATGCCTCCAATTCAAACACTTCCTCGGAGGGAGCGGCCTGCGGGAGTGCGGGCGAATTTGGTGGTCTGCTAACCGGTGCCAGTTGCTCCTCCTCGACGGCCTCCTCCACGTCGCACGCCCCTAAACTTTTGGGTAGCTTCGTGATCAAGGAGAACTTTGAGGTGCATCCGTCACACAAGGTGGAGGAGGGGATCTTCCAGCACATGAACAAGCTCCCCTCGAAAAAGAAAGACACGCTGAAGCAGTTGGGCGTTCGGTTCACTGGCCAGATGACGCTCACGGACAAATCGATTGTGGTGGAGAACTTTATCAAGTTCTGCGAGGTGAGTTAGCTAGCACAGAGCAACCTTTCCTAAATTCTATGTGGGTTTGGGTGTTTACCGAGTCGAATTTCCCTTTAACGCGAGAGAGTGTGTGCGAAAATTTCACTGCTCTCACTCTACCTATTTCCATATGCAATTTAAATATTTGCACATATGTACGCATTACGTATTTATTTTGATGATGGTCGTTGAGCATGGGTTGGGGGTAGGGTTTTATATGTGGGTTCTAATTAGGGTTGGTCAAAGGGGTAGTATTTCCGCTTGGGAGTGAATTACTGTTGGAATTACCTTACTGATTTCAGGTACTTTATGTCAGATAATTTTAGCTTAAAAATGTAGATAAATAGGAATTCAACTTATTTAAGGACTTATGCAGTCCTTATAACAGGTTCGAAATCTAGTTGATTATCATTTTAAAACAATCTATATTAGATGGGAGCTCTGAATAAAGTTTAATGGAATGGGGGTCAAATGAAAAGTATACATAGCTTATACCAACAAATAGCTGATAAACAACTAAATGCATGCCTTGAATTAAGGTCAATTTATCATTTCTCTTATCAAGCTAATACTAGTTCATATCTAGGTGAACACGTGGGGTTTAATTTAGTGTTTAATATTGACATTCTTATCGTGTAGATCATTTATTAAGCAATGGTTTGCTGTATTTATCTTTAATAAATGTTTTTAATAAACGTTTATTTGAATAAATTCAGAAATACCTCGGTTTCTAACTTCACGATAATAAATAAAGAATTTATCCTTTAATACATTTTGTTTTATTGATTTCGAAATTCATTTTTGAAATTTACAATTTTTTTTCCTCTTATAATCTTATTACAACCTAAAAATGTAAATCCTCAGGGGTGCAATTAATATCAATTTTAAATGCTCGTAAAAATTGTTAATTGATTTTAAATTCATAGCTAATGTTAGAGTTCAAGCTGAATCTGTTTCAAAATTATAGATATTGATATTTTCTGCGGTCCAAGCGCCTATATAAATATATAAAGTACATACCAATTTGGATATTCATAATATAAACATGCACCCTATCTA